TTGTATATCACACCCGGGCATCGCACTGTTAAGTACATATGGGAAAGCCAGCTTTTGTCAAATACTACGAATGTATTAATTCAGTACGGTACGTAGTTGCCCATTTGCCGAAATTGCATATTTACTTACCCCGTATGGTTTCAAATAGTTCATGCACCTCCATTTAGATTTTTTTTAATCAGTGAGGATTGAATCAAAGGGTTAACAATTTCACCTAACATTTCACTCATACCGGTCTGTATTGTAGGCCTATAGTCTGATCTCTCAAGTATATGGAGCCACGAATGCTTGTAATTTTCTGACTAATTTCCTCTATTAGTTGGTTTATATACCAAATTCAGTAAAACATTTTTTACATTAAACATGAGATATTGGATTTCTTAGCTTTTCCATTCTAAATCATATAGACTGCTATATTTATTCTTGACGAAAATTAATAAATCTCCTCTCTTTCTTCAGATGTGAATGTGAACAAACCTGTCTAAGCATTGTGAGACTCCTGCAGCACAAGAGGCAATAGCAAAAATAGTAAGTATATCAATCAAGAAATTGAGCCGACATAAAGCAAAAGTTTCAACAAATCGTCTAATCTCAATTTCCTATTATTTATTCACATGACAACTATAGCAGAAAAGGAGATATCAGAAGTCTGGCGACATATCAGTGACCGTGTGATTCCAAGAAGTATAATTAGAGTACTCCATAAATGTTTGCAATAGAAGAACAGCCTATAAAGGCATGCAAAGACATTTGACCCTCCGATAGAGTTGTGTATGCCCCCCACATCCTGCAGGGCTTAAGAAACATAACAAAAAATTCTAAAGCGTGAGATTGCATAATAGATTTTTCAAACCTTTTAAAGTGAAATTGATTATTCACACAGAAAAGAATTTACTGAAAGTAGTTTTGGAAAATTAATTTTTTTTGTTCACATTTTGACCCAAATAAGAATACACATCAAGCTAGCAAAAGAATACTTGAATAAAACACTTGAGTGATTAAATTAAACGCAAAGTACATGAAGAAGGTGGCATTTTCAAAGAAAATGAGAGTTGCAATATTTCTGCATTTCACAAAATTCTGAAGCACATTGAACAGAAAATTTTCATGTGTTTGTATATTAATATAATTATACAACGACTTAGTTACTAAAAATCAATATCAATAATAATTCAAGCAATCCTATGCCACGCAATGTGGTGCGAAATGTCTTGTCGAAAAAATTTGTCATGTGTTTTTTTACTGATCTCCACATGAAGTTATAAAAATAACCCTTTTGCATTACTGGAATTAATTTTCGCAAAGATCCAGATTAGCCCATGATCATGTGACCTCGTTAGTTAGAGTTGGTACTATAAAATCATTTCAGCCTGGCCTTAGTATGCTGGTGACACAAAAAAAGATACCAAACGTCAGGACAAATGTAATTAAAAAATCATTGAGTTTATACTGTAGTATTTTTGTTAATTTTAGGTCCATATATTTAAATTAAGTCATTTTTAGTGTATGTATTATTCTTTCCTTATCCAAAGTTTGTTCAAAAATTATTTTGATGGGTGTACATAGAATTTTATGATTTTTTGTAATAAATACAGTAACTTGCAATAATAGTGGAATGCAAATATTAATATGTAATTGCATTTGAAATTAAGAAAAAAATAATGAAACTTAACCCAACTGTTTGGTTGCATCACAACATATGTCACAAACTAAAACTATCTTAAAAATATCTTTCAAGTATACATTATCAAAAACTGTTTGCGGCCCTTTTTACAATTTCCAAAATGCAATGCGGCTCTCGAAAACCCATGAGTTTGACACCACTGATCCATTCTGGACGATTTAAGCATTGCTTTGGGAAATAATATCTATTCAATTAAATTGAAAAAAATCTTGCTATATTAAATACAAAATCGTTGCTATCATAAAGGTAAACTAATTCAGCCACTCGCAATATATATTGGCCTTCACAAAGTAATGGAGGCAAAATTGAGAGTTCATGAGCTATGAATTTTTGTTCTTTTCTTTGTCTTGAACTTTTTATACTCCACAGCCGCTATTAATTTTTTTTTAATTTTAAATACCATGTGATGGTCATACATATCTTTAACTTTTTACTCACATGTCTGTATGTGGAGAGTGATGAATACAGTTCGTTTTCTAAGGATCTCGTTGCCTCTTTACTTTGGTTGTGCAGTTACTAGAAGCTGGGAGATTGCGCATAATTCTTCAAGGCGGGTGCGGTTGCAAATAGGACTCCACTACAACAACGTTGAGTGGATTGGAATTCACGTTCCAACTTTACAATAGATAAAAACAGAAAATAAAAGTAACTGACCATAGAATCGGGAAAACAAACAAAATCTCAAGTAAGTTTTGAAGCGTGCCAATTTTAGATGGAAAGGTATTGATAAAAGAAATAGTACGTGTTCGCTCACCCAAAAGTAAAAAAAAAGTAATTAAGGCACGCACGCACACACACGCACACAATCATCGAGACATGATAAGGTCGGAAGTGAAAAAAGCGAAAATTAAAATCAATTAAATTACTCAGTAAAAAGAAAAATATACAAACAAATGAAAAAGAAGTGAGTAAATTCTTTTACCACATCAAATTAATAATTTTATGAGGGTTGCCAAATTGGATACCGAATTAGCCAACAGGAATAATATACTGTGGATAGAAAAGTATTCCTCGTCAAGCTGATTATAATTGGAGTCACCTAATGCGAAATTGCCCCATTAGAATTGCCAAGTTGGATATATGAAGAGGTGGGCTATACCTGCTTCACTGACCAAATAGAAGCCAAAACTAGCCAAATTAGCGTCCAAATAATTTTAAATACTAATAATCAATGACAGTGCCGGTAATTATAATTAAAATTAATTAGGGCGTGATTATGTTTGTATTTCAAGGTAATCGAATAAATATTTTTTTTTCAATATGTATTGGAATTGATATTTGATTTACTTTATGTCCCACCAATGATCTAATCAAAATATTTTTTATAAAATAAAAAAAGTCAGTTGGTACTTGCTACTTGGTTCATCTATTTTTACGCGTGGGAATTTTCTTCTTTGACTGAAATCAGAGGTATCTCTGTCTATTGCATCTGTACGGCGCAAAAGGACCACTATAACACGAGGTTTCAGGGACTACTGGTTTAATTTGCATTTTCTTTCTCGTAGTCTACACCTAACCTATATACCGTATCGTTACCAGTAATACTGATGCTCCGGTGACCAGCGATTTTGCATCAGTATATCTCATCCGACAGCGCAAGTCTAAAAAAGTATGATGAAATTAAAACCGGAACGTTTAGATTTTTATGCCAGAACTACGTCATTTTAAAATAGATTTTATTTCGATTCATTCGTAAAAACAAATTAATCATATGTACATGCAAGATTGAAGGCAAAGTAGACTAGCTGGGAAGTGAATAACACTAATAAAATAAGTTTACAACCTATTAGGCGCGTTCACTCACCGACATGACGACTGAAGAAGGAAGCAACAAGTCATACAGTCATAGGCTGAACATGAATATTGACGGAGGTCATTACTGAGGCGTTTCACTTTGTAGTCAGGTTGCATGCATTTTTTTTTCATAAACAAACTGTGAACTAAATACCAGCTGTGTGTGTAATGTCAGAACTGCAGTTTGTGGCATTTACACAACAAATTCTAAAATGAGGTGTGAATGCATGTTGCCGTTCCATGCTTAAAAATCAAAAAAATATCTAGTAATATTTACTAAAACGTCCACACAAAATTGTCAAAATCGATCGAGTTTTCAAATATCATGTTCATGCTGTTTGACTTTTGTATATCCAGTAAATATTTTAAGCACAGCAGTCTACAGGCCTAAGTATAATTTTGTTTGAACTTATCTTCATGCTTGTATGCAGTAATTCCTTTGAAAATCTTCCATTTTTGCACCTCAGTTCTACATTTCCAGTCCAGCCACCAAAAAGCTGCTATTTCTGTTGATTGTTTCTTGATGTAACTAGTAACTACTGCACTAAGTCTTAAATTTAGTTCTCGAACACATATCTTCGGCTCAAGGTAGCCATGTTTGCACGCAACGATGGTCGCTAACTTGAAATTATTCAACTTGTTTTTTGGATCCCTTGCTTCAAAATAATGTCTAAATTTTGGTAATACAAGAGTACAATTGCCGTTAGTCAGTCTCACCTAAAATCATACAAGGTTTGATTAGGGTCGTATCATGCTATTCAGGGGTCCTAAGCACCTGGGTGCTCTATATATGAAAAGTAATAATTATAATAATGTAAGTGTAACTAGTGTTCTATGTTATCTGTAACTGACTAAGTAAGTTTCAGTATTGATGTTTTCATAGCAATGACCAATCAGCAATGAGTTAACAATGACAAAACTATTGTAATTTTCCAAATCGCTCAGACATATATCCAAGCACCGTTGTAAACATTGCTTTGCTTTCGCTGTCAGTTTCACTTGTGTTTTCAAAAAGTAGTCCCGCAAACACTCGGACAGACTAGCCCAAGTAATATGCAGCATGTGGTCTAATAGTTTTATTGATCATGGTGTTTCGGAACACGTGAACCAGATCTGCAAATTGTAAGCGTCAACTCTACAGAACACTTTAATAATAGACATAAATTTTGTTTGCATAATTGAAGTATAGGGAGAATTTTTTTGGGGGTCAAGAAAACATCCAATCACTACTAATTGACAGCCGAGTTATGATTAATTTGCATTATTTACAAATAATATTCCCAAGAATTTTATATTCTTGTGTGCATGTTTCTGTGTATGCTGTTGAAGACTTAATTCTTAACAGTAAGATTGTTGTGATGTATTTTTCCATTCATGAAAATAGGGGTGAACCAGCACAAGCGCTGCTAACATCTTTTTTTCAAAGATTTATAATTTTCATTTCTTGAAGATGGAAGTAGTTGACTGAATAAATGTTCTGAATTACTATAATTTCAATCACAAATTTTTATGTCACAGCTTATACGCTCCAGTATAGTGATATACATAAAAACGTATATAGACCTAAGATTTTTACAAAGTACAGAAGGGTCAAGTGGTGTGGTAATTTGCTCACACATGTCGAAGTCCAGCATCCACTTTATTGTTCAGAAGTCACCTGCTAATGAAGAACAATTTCAAGAGAAGTAATATGGAATTTCTCTATTTTATAAAGTCGTTTTAGCCTTTACTTAGAATGGTATTTCATATTTATCCTGTCATATAGAAATATAGTAAAGAGTAAAGACGGCTCAATCATATGTTAATCATGTCACACCGTTTGGTTACCTATGTTGGGTATGGAAGTAGCTGAGAATTTTTTGCTTCAGATGCATGGACTTGATGGTCGAGGATGATGTTACTGCCCAGTTGTTACATGAAGTGCTAAGAATACAGCAAGCCTCTTGCACATAATTATTCCCCCAGTGGATTTGAATCCATGTTGCTTAATGGTGCAAAGGCAAGTATGTTCTAAGCACACGCAACCTCTGCGTAATTGAATCGGTTTTAAATAGCTCATCAGATAATGCAAAATTAGTGTGTTATATATTAAATTGTTGTTTTGTCGGTAATTAGAATCAGTATGTTGTATGATACTTCAATGTGTGTTCTGTAATTTTTTCATTAACTTGTAAATAACGATAGAAAACACCCGTTTTCCAGGTTACAGGCTCTCAGTGAAAAGAGAAGTTTCTATGCACCGTCTATTGAGGATGTACCACCAGTCCTACAAGAACTTCAACAATATGAGATAAGGTTTGCCCTGACCAAATATTATCTATGTCTAATATGTTTTATGTATTCAACTCACTTATCTGTAATAGTAACCAGTGATTTGATAGTTTCGGCCAGGCGTAGCTAACGTCTTTTTCTAAATGGCTAAACATTGTATTCTCATCATGAAAAAGAGGAATATGAGTCATAGATTTATTCACTGTCTGCATCAATGAGGAACTTGCTGTTTCATTCCACAAGTCTTAATAATCCTAAATAACCCTTAATGAAGCGATTTTTACTACTTGACTATTTAAAATTCATGTGGGAAAACAATAATTAATGTGAATCGAAAAGCATTAATAACGTCAAGAGTTGAATTACTTTGTTCCGTCGTGAATATCGTTATTGTTGGTAGTAACTGCATACCCAATAATATATATGCCACTCATTTGTCTCTTACACTCTAAACAAGTCTCTGTACAAGCAGCCACTGATATCTTGTTTTATATATTTTTATTATCAGGCAATGTGTGGTTTCATCGAAGCATATTGCTTTTCTTCTCGAGGATGGAAGAGTCTGTCGGGTAAAATATTTTGCCCACGATCCACAAGAAGAACCTGAAATTGAAGCAACTACTACCACAGCTACATCTGGTGCGAGTAAATCAACATCTACAAGTAAAACAGGTGAGACATCAGTTTATCTGTTTATGGTATGATATTTTGATAATTTCACATACTATAATAAATCATGTGGAAAGAATAACTTTCACTTTCATATAAGTGTAGCAAACTGAAGAATAGTTGATCAAACCTTTTCAACTTTTGAACTTTCAAAATTCTGAATTTGTTTGTATTGCGGACTTTCAATGGTGATAAAGTGAAACAAAACTTAAAAAGCATTAATTTCTATTAAAGAAAGCTTATATATGTGAATGTTGTTTTTTTTAATTTGATTTTTAAAGTCGAAACTCGAAATTCTTCAGAATTCTGGGTCTGAATCAGATTGATAATATTTCTCAACTCTGCGTTATTAGAGCTAAAGCTTTGTTCAATCCTGACCCAAAAGTCGGAGTCGATTGTAAATTTTCTCAGACTCCACAGTTCTGGTTGTTAGACTTATGTTTTGAATTCAACACAGAATGTGTTGGTGTCATTGTAATTAAATACCTTAATATTTCATCTTTAATAATTTGTCCTTCGTATATTCAATTTTAGGAGAGAGACCACCGAAACTTCCCCGAACAGGTAGCACACCATGGATAATATCAGGCACTGATTTATCCAGTGGCCATTCATCTGCTCTACGAAGATGGGGAACACATATTGGGGTGATTCGTTCGATCGCGTCTTCTTCTGCCACCACCAATTCATCATCAGTAACATCAGCGAGCACAACAACTGCTCGACATCGAGCAAGAAACAGCGGCTCAGATGCAGCGTCTTCTCTAAGCGCAAGCGGAGTGAGACTTGTAAGAACTTCTCAGGTAAGAGTGAATTCATTGTGAGGTTGAATTTTAATTAAAAAATTTTTGTACAGTGCTTTTTGCTATCTTGCTCAAAACAAGCATTTTTTGGAAGGACTGGAATTTGTCTATTTGTCTGATCAGGCATTGTACACTTGATTTATTATTGAGCATTGTATTTGTACTTAAGTGTGTAACCTGTGATGTCAACACACTTAAGTCGTTGCTCCAGAAGTATGTGTGTACCAAACTACCAATATGGAGGTAACTAATTTTGTTCGCCTACTTTACATCAAGTTATGTAAAGGGACTGAAACTTATGGGCAGGGGGTATATTCACTTGGATAACACAGACAATCCCTGAACTCGTAATAGAACTAAAATACGGAAAATCGGAACAAAATTATGGCCTAACCCTAACCTGGTACACACACTACAGCAGTACCCTTAAGTCTAATGGTTTAATGCCAAGTGTTCTGAGTTGTGCATCTTGATCCATATCTAGGAGAAAAGTTGATTTGACTCTTGACAGTACATAACAATTTTTGTATCAGTATGGAATTAGTTACTATCAATGTTTGGATGCCTATACTTGATTTGGATTACCAAATTAATAGAATTCTTAAATTGAAGTAAAAAACAGAACAAATATAATTCTCAATTTTGCTGATTTTGAGAACAATGTTCTATAAAAACACAGGTTTACTTGGGGAATACCACAAAGCAAATGTTTTTATAAAAAACTATCATAAATATTTTGTTACAAGTGGGAACAGTTGCAGGTAAAATGAGTTACGTAAGCTAACCAGTTTATTAACACACATTTAATTGGGCTGTTTGTTTTCAGCTGCGTGGCCGTGGATTACAAAGCTCATTACTGACTGGACAGAGAGTGATTGTACCTGCTTCCCATGTGCCTGAAGAGTTGGTGAACCAAGTACAGGTATTTGTGTAGTTAAATGTAGAATGTGGGACTGCTACAATGGTCGGGTGATGTAATGACTTAAATCACTTGTGGTGACAGTCTACAACTGTTTCAAGGCTCATCTCCCTTTGCCTTTTTTGAAACTCACATTCATCCTTGCCATGCTTGATGCTCTGTTTGATATTCATGTCTAAAATATTCATGTTCATTCACATTACAATATTACTGAATATCAGTAACACTACTCACAAATATGAGGAATGTTGGATCATCCATGAGCTGTTTTGACTAATTTTCAATCGGAAATGGATGGGTGTTAATCTCAGGAGATGTTGAGTTACAAATTTAGATCTTCCATACTTTTATATTCAGGGAATACTACAAGGCAAGTCCAGGAGTATTATAACTAGAGAGCTCCAAAGAACAAACCTCGATGTTAATTTGGCTGTTAATAACTTGCTGAGTCGTGATGATGAAGACAATGATGACATGGATGATAATGGTGAGTTGCATTTTAGGAGTGGCAATTTTTTTCCGTTATTTAAGTTCATTTTTGTAAATAATATTATGTGTTGTAAATTAGTTGTTGTTTTCTTTTTAGATAGCGTTTACATGTTATCATACTTTTTTAATTCACAAAAAATGTGTACTGTACTAATCATTTTTAACAGTTGATTTAAGGAACTTGCATATGACAAAGTATTTGTTATCAAAATAGAGTTTTGAGCTGAGCTGGAGTCGGAGGTCAAAAATTTTTTTTACTGATAGTCACAGTCGATTGTGAATTTTCCATAACCCTGATAAGTAGTTAATTACGCGCCCGCATAAACCTAACCGATAGCACTCGTTTTAAAATTATCGATTTCACTTTGTTTAAACAACAGGTAGCGATTATATACCAAGTGAAGATCTCTTATCATTACTTGATTCTGGAATACATCCCGGTGAACACGGAGTTTTCATTGATTCTGATGCTATTCTACCAGATGAATTACTTGGATATACTTTTCAACGGGCACCGAGGTTTGTTTTTGTGTTCTTTTTATTTAATGGATTCTGACGTTCTTCTGCCGTTCATTATGTATTTCCCTGAAATTCAAGTTCTAATGGCAGTCCAGCTAGAATATTTGCCAAAGTAATTACTTATTTCTTTCTGTTCGGTTAACAGAGTCATTGATGGCTAAAACTAAATATCTTGTAAATATTTAACGGACAATAAGTCGCATTTTAAATCCTTTTTTTTTTCTCAAAATCGATTGTGCGCCTTATAAGCCGATGCGTCTAATATATAAATCTGGTAGTGCTTTATGCTTCATTGTCTAAACTTAAAACCAGTACAGTATTGCTTTAATAAGTACTTTCGAGCCGAATTGACAGTGCCTTATAATACGCCTTATGTTCTGTAAAATATGATACTTGCTTCCAAATTATATATAAAATTGAGGTATGTTTTAATTTATTCTTAATTGGTGAGATAAATGTAATTGGTTACATAGTCTGAATTCATTATCAATCATTTCAAATTACTGGAAAGTACATTCTGAACAAGGCTTTGTATAAGTCAAGGATGCAATCGTTTTTTTGATTTCGTTTGTTGTTCATATAAAATAACTGATGGAAATACCTTAAAAGCATAAATAGAATTTTTTATAGAAGAGGATAGGGCAAAGTGCTGAATTTTTGGAAGGGTTCATAAATCATGAAGGTTTAGGAACGACTTTACAATGTTTTTTATGTATACTATATATATATATAAAAAGACACTATTTTTGAAAGATTGTAATCCTCGTTGTTCAAGATTGCCTCTATGATTTCATATTTTCTGATTTTGCCCTCAATATGACCACCTTTATTGATAACTGCATTATTTACAAATCCCTTTGCCTCGTCTCACACTTGACATTTTATTCAGAATTTCTTGCCAACGAACTGGTGCATCAGGTGGAGATGGAGCGTCTGGTGGTGGTGGTGCCAGTGCGAGAGATGTATTGCAGGATAGGGATCCAATAATCAGACTCCGCGCACCACGATTCTTGGGTTATGAATCTGACCAAGATGATTCTTCTCAAAAATCGAAGTCTAATTCTGGTTGGAAAAGGGTGAAAGGTCAGTTTTAGCGGGGAATCTGATTTCCTTCCATATTTCTATGTTTTAGGCGGTGTGGCTCATAGTTAGGAATACAAATACATTTGTATTTAAAATATAGTTGTGAAATATAGTTTATGTTTTCTTGGATCAATTTCTATATTTGTTCAATTGTACTATGTTTGTCGTACGTTTAAAATAAATATCTAAATCTTGGTTGTGGTATCAAAAATATGTGGATGTGAATTTAATCATGATTTTAACCCTATTTTCAGTTTCAAAAGAATGTGAATCTGTAAATCTGGCAGAACAATTGGAATGGTGGATGGACGACGGAGAATATGTCAAATTCATTGTATGTTATCTACTTATACTCTGGCCAAAACGAATAATTTACTATCTAAATACATCTATGATCGAATATTTTTGAATATCGTTGGACATCCCTGAAATAAGTAGGCCAAGCTATTCTAATTCAAAACAACCAAAACATGAAAGGAAAGTCGCCAGGGTCATTATGATGCTTGGATTACCGTTATCATAGAGTTCTACTTGAAGCAATGGTGTGGAATACTGAAAAATTAATTTGATCTGTGCTGGGTTCAGAAACAAGTATACCATCCTTAATGTACAGAATAACCCCAAAAACAGAACCAAGGTCATTCGGAACATATCCTAGGGAGAACATAACTTTAGTGTTGAATAAATTTTTTTATTTCCATAGAAGTAATTAGGAAATTTATAGGTTGTATTTTTTGGATAATCCTATAAATTAATAGTTTGAAATTTTTTTGTTGGTTTTTTACAGCAAATCGGTTCGATGCAGAGTGAACTTGCTGCGATAGATGAGACTGGAAATCTTCGACAATGGAGATGGGGAAAAGATATTCCGTATCGACACCCAACCAATCAAAAAATTTTTCATCCTCGTACCCAGTTTCTAGGAATTGAAGACAAAAAGGTATGAGAGTAAATATCCGGTCGAGGAAATGGGTAGAAAGAAATTATGGCACATTTGAGAATGGGTGGCTAGTTGTGCTAAGCGCTAGGAATATACTCGCCATCGCCCAGTGACTTCTCATTACTGTAGGGTGGTTCATTGCGATAACAATGTTCTCCACATTCAAGTCCGTACATTTAAAATACATAACTGGCTAATTAATCCCATACCCGACATGAACTGGTAACTATGATTATCCACATGTTAAGGCCGTTTTATCAGTTTTCCTCTCCTCCAGGATAAATAGCTTATATGAAAATCCTGTCTAAAATGATGCTATGCATTTAACATTTAAATATTTTAATAAAAGTATTTCTCATTTCACAATCAACTGGATTCCTAAACCAATAATCATGAATTTTTAATTCATTCTTCGGGCATCCCTAATTCTGGTTGTTGTCCACTGACCGACACTTTTTTATTTCACCCGATTATTTTTCTGTTTTCCACAGGTTGTACATTTAGCGGCGTGTACATTGAGAGCCACTGTATTGGTTGAAAATGGGGGCGTGGCAACTTGGATTGATAAGACTGTTTCCAAACACGCCTCTGTTCTTGAACACCATGTTACCAACTGTGTTCATCCAGATCTGGCAATGGAGTTTGGCACCACCAAACATGATTTAACGAGAGACAGATGTTTACATATATGCTCTTTGTACAGTGCATTGTTCACTTCGTCAGGTATTGTAATTTTTGTCTCTTTCGTTGTGTGTTTGTTTGAAATTACATGAGACTGTGTTAGGAACTGCTACCGGTATATTCACTTTCTTTTATGGCATTCAATCCACCTACCCACCAAAATCGATAGTCCCGTAGTGTGTGTACCAGGTTAGGGTCAGGCCATAATTTCATTCCGATTTTCTATATTTCAGTTCTATTACGAATTTGGGGACTGTTGTGCTAGCCAAGTGAATATACCCCCTGCCCATAGGTACTTGATATAAAGTAGGCGAACAAAATTAGTTACCTCCTTATTGGTACACTACTTTTGGAGCGCCGGTTTATTAACATGTCACAGTCTATTTACTTTGGATAAATGTAGTTATTACGAATAGTACCTGGTGTCTTATGGCCCCAACCACTCTTTGACATCCCCAGAGTAGTCAAAGCCTTAGTTTGTGTAAATCTGGATACTATTTATTTTATAAAATAGAATATGTTTTTTTTATCTTTCAGGTGAAGTATACTGGTGGGGTGTCTTACCATTTCATCTCAGAAAACATATTCTATCTCATGCTCAAGCTAAGCTAAAGAAAACTTTGGCATCTGGTAAATCAAAAGATTCAAAGAAAAACGAGGTAGATCTTTTTTCAATAGACTGTCACATAACGCACTTCATTTTGATTTCTTGTTACAATAGTTGTAATGTTGTGTTCAACAACTCTGTCGTCATTCTGGGGGAAAAATCTCCATACCACCCACGGCTCGGAGGTGTGGGGCTTCGTGTTAAGTGTTACGAACAGGGTCGCCACCACGCAGATTCGAATCCCATGCAGGGATAATTATGTGCGAGAGGATTGCTGGACTCCTTGCCGCCGTGGGGTGGTTCACGTAATCGGTGGTCGGTTACCGCTTCCTTCCTTGTGCATATGAAAACAAATAACTGGCTAACTAAAACCGGACGATAGGCCGTGGTTCGCCTTATGGATAAATCGACTTATAGGCTTTCCTCTCCACCTTGATAAATATGTAAATCCTATCATATCCACCCAGCAAGTAGGCTAACTAAATCTGAATCTTCCAATCTTTTTTATACGACACCTATTCTTGATTTCGCTCTGAATAAGGCCCAGTGCAGGTAATAATTGATATCTCAAGATATGTGAAGAACTGTTATATGTAAAAGGACCAGAATTGTGTCAACCCAATTTGTTACACCTCAAGTCAGGTAATGGAAGGGTGATTTGAACCCAAGATGTGTTATGTGTGCTGCTTACATGCCTAATACTTTAACTGCTAAGTCATCACTCCCACAATTCAGTTATACTTTTTCTGTTTGTAGGTTACTGTTGGTTCAATGGTTTGTCTACATAGTTGCCCAATGTTTCAAGCTGGTGCTACTGCCATCCATGTTCGAGGTGGGAAACCTAAAGTAGGTTGTCTTCAACAATCAGCATGGAATTTAACAGACAAATGTACATTTAAGGTAATATTCAAAAATTTTTTTTACTGTCTCTGTGTTGTCAGTAATTATTTAGATATTTGTCTCAGCGTTCAACACATTGTGCTCAGCGTTAAAAATACGCTTTTCATCGCACCTCTGATTACCTTGCATGGGTTCGAAACTCGCAAAGGATAATTCTCTTCTAGACTAGAGGATTGCAGTTTGAATAGAAGTGAGAAAATAGGTTTCGAACAAAACACGATTATCTTGTTTTGTACCATGTTTGCGTAATTATTTTTTGGTTATACTCCATGGAGTTAATCTATCTTTGTTTTACTCACTTAGATTTTGACCAAACGAAAACATAAAAAATCAAAAACAAAAGAAAAAGAAAGAAAGAAAACAGATAAGAAAAAGGGAGATGGAAAAGGTATATTGGAACGTATGTATTTTGTTGCTGCATCCTTCCCTGGTGCTTGTTCATAACAATATATTGTGACGTAATAATCCCTCGTAGTGTTTTTTAGCACTTCCCAGCCACCAGTTAAACCCTTAACTAATCAAAAACAGAATTTTCTTTTGTGGCCCATCTAGATGTCTGAAGTTTGGTATATGGCCCGCTGACAAAAAATGTCGCACACCCCTGTGATAGACTTCAAAGCTTAATCCTCACCCAGGGTGTAAAAAATGAGTTGTCAAGCTGAACTGTGGAGATTTTGTGCATAAGCGTCGTATAAAATTAAAAAGATTATATCATTTTTTATTTATTTACAGATGACTTAACACCAAAATCAGAAGAAATGGAAGCGGTGAAGAATGAAACTCCAGTTATACAGAGCAACAGGTAAACATCATTTTTTAAAATACCGATTCCTTGAAACTATATTACACAGAAATGTGCTCAAGAAATTTCTGTGGATGACACCAATACAAATAAATGACAAAGTACACCACACCACTTACAGGGCCAAGTATAAGAAATTTTTGAAGTGTTGACCTATAAAAATTTGCTTGAATCAAGGTCACAAACGCTCACTCAGGATTTTCGTCTCTTCATTCAAAAACACGAGCGACCACCAATATGCCAAGATCTACAGAGCCTATAAAGAATTATAGAGTTGAATTTGATTTGGAGAAAAATTTCTCTAATTTTGAATTCTGGACCATTGCATTATGTTTAAACGATTTGGAAGCGTGATTAAGAGTTTTGAATTCATTTGTACTGTAATGAAACAGATTGGGCTTTCCTCTTCCGCCAGGATAAATATAAAAATCCTATCCCTATGCTCATTATTTTACCAATGTGGAGATATTTTTATTCATTTATATAGTGAACGAGAGACTGTTTTAAAGTCGACATCAAGTACTCCGATCATTCCATCAACAAGCGTTGATGACAATCAATCATCTCAACCTTCTAAACCACAGAAGAGAAAACTATCTTCTTCAAAATCAAACGAAAACTTGAGTGGAGAATCAAAGTAAGTGAGAATAATATAAAGTTCCCCTATGGAGTAACATAATGGGAACTGTGCGTATAAAGTTAAACTGGAGTCAGTTTTGATTTTCAGTGAATTTTCAAGAAAGTTTGCTCAACGCAACTTCACACCTGCTTCTCCAAAAGTGATGGGTCTTGTTACATATTTACGCTGAAATTCCAATAGTTACTGAAACTGTCGAGGCTCATGGTTGAGACGCATTACGAGCCATATTTATTGTTATCTTCAATGGATCCTAATGTCTCACAACTCGCTCATTGGCTTCTCAATAGTCTAAATAGTTTATATATGTCTGTATTGTATTGAACTAATACTAAATAACTAGATGATATTAGTTACACTATACCGAATACAAAGTACTATTTCAGTACTATTTATCCAAAATAATCTTCTTCTATAAGGAAATGCTGCATTAATCTGACTCTGCTGCTTAATGAATAATTTCATTGTATCTTGTTTTATATATAATTCAGGTCTAAAACAGATAAAGATGAAACAGGAGAGAAAGAGCAGGAAGAAGCAGAAATAGAGGAGCAATGGGATTTACAAGATGTGATTTTTGTTGAAGACGTTCAAACAATACCGGTTGGAAAAGTATTGAAAGTGAGTTGTTTTTTCAGTATTAAATTTAAAGAGGGCGATGGTCTAGCGATAAAGCAGGGATGTGCAACCTATAATACAGGTGGGCCAGATACAAATAAGTGGGCGAAACCGCGGGCCGCATCTCTGTTTGACATAGGCACAAAAGTTTTCAAGCCAGCTGTTAGGGCATTGTAACGTCATAGGCATCAGGTATAGGCTTTGCATGTATTAGGATTGGAATTACTCGTGTGTGCCAGATTTTAAACTAATTTGAAAAATTTGTTTTGCGGGCCGCACACCATTTAAAATTGGCACTTCTCCGCGGAGTGCACAATTTATCCTTATGGGCCGCAGGTTGCACTGTCCTGGCCTAGTGTTAAAGCGTTAGACTTAACTCTATCAGGATAAAAGTTGCCACATCTCACATTCAAATCCCATTCCCACCGTCTCACACTGGGTGTAATGATTTGGGTTGGCAATGCTCTAACGCAGTGGTTCTCAAACTTTTTAAGCCACGCTCTCTTTTTACAATTTGTCAAGTCACGCGCCCCATCTAAAAAATAACTAGCCAACAATAAGCTACAAATAACAGATAGTAAGGCGAAGGAATGTCTTATTCAAAAAACACGTTGAAAATATGTGGATGGAACGTAAATAATAAGACAAATGAAAAGTTTTGAAATGTAAATTTCCGAAATATTTACAAAATTATTCTAACCAGCTTCACGCCCCCTCAAAAATTTGTCTATGTCCCCCTTGTGGGCGCCACACTGTTTGAGAACCACTGCTCTAATGGAAAGATTCCGACTGATAGTAGTTCCTTACTTGGCGGCTACTTGTGTGAAAGGCGTGAATAAACATTCTTTACATAGGCCTTACTCTATTTTACAGTTTTTTTTTTATCGAAGTACCGTAATTGATATATATGTTATCGTATCTTTTACAGGTTGATGGAGACATGATTGCTGTTTGGTTTAGTAAATCTGGTAAATTTAAAGAAAAAACGGGAAAAAGTTCAATCATGAAAAATCTACGTTTATTGCGAAAAGAAGATGTTTACGTTTTACCATCTGGCAATCCACCTAAAGCACCAGAATGCTTTTTAAGAGCTCCTGGAAAATTGAATGAGGTTTGTTATTATGTCTTCTCTTGTTCTGTTGTAGAAATCTAATTTACGCAAGCATGTGAAGGGTATATGCGGGACATGATATAGTTGAGCTTTCAGCTTTGTTATATTTTTTTCTGCTCTGTGATAGATCTGGGATTCTTATCATGATCCTGTTAATATAAAAATAAGGTACTTCCGTAGTGTGTGTACCAGGTTAGGGTTAGGCCATAATTTTATCCTGATTTTCCTTCTTTCTGTTCTATTGCCAGTTCGGGGACTGTTTGTGTTAGCCAAGTGATTTATACCCACTGCGCCCATAGGTTTCAGTCTCTTTACACAACTTGATGTAAAATAGAATTAGTTACCTCCATATTGGTACACACACTTCTGGAGCACCAAAAGTAGAATTGATATTACTTATTTCCCTGAATCTTTGTCACTGTTTATTTTCTTGTTTTAGCTCGATCGTTCATTCAAACTTCATTCTATTTGTATAAATGAACTCGGAATACAAGCAATAGAAGGCGGAGTGGATGGGGCTCCGATGTCTCATCTACAAATCGATCTTACGGGAAAAATCACCTCAGATTGTCCTTTTCCTTCTCCACCTGAGATGTTTTTTGGTGAGTGAACTTGATTTGATTTGAGGTGTCCTCTGTATTTTGAGTAGCTTTGAAGTAATTTTAGAAAGTGTTCTGAATTTTTGATCGATTTGTTCTAATTTGGTAGATGTCCTCTGGTTTTTGAGTAGATTTGAGATGGTGTCCTCTGGTTTTTGAGTAGACTTGAGATGGTGTCCTCTGGTTTTTTAGTATAATTTAACTAATTTGAGAAGGTGTCCTCTGGTTTTTGGGTAGGTTTGAACGGATTTGACAGATGTCCTTGTATTTTTGAGTAGGTTTGAACTGATTTGAAAAGTTGTCCTCTTATTTTTGAGTAGGTTACAACTAATTTGATAAGGTGCTCTAAATTTTTGAATGGGTTTGAATTGATTTGAGAAGGTGTCCTCTTACTTTAAAAGTGTTTGAACTGATTTAAAAGGTTGTCCCCTTATTTTAAGTAGGTTCGAACTGATTTGAAAATGTGTCACCTAATTTTTGAGTAGGTTTTCTCTACTTTTGAGTGGTTTGACTGGACTTGGGCAGTTATCCTCTAATTTCTGAATAGATTGAATCATCGGAGCTGAATGCTTTATATAAGGCTTTTAATCAGATCTTCTTACAATAAAATAAGTTATGGTTCTTTTTAAAATAAGATGATGGAAACATGAAAGAAAATGAAATGAAACATGATGACGGAATTGGTAAAAGTATATGCAAACTGGATAGAAATTGCCAGGTGAGTAAGAATCACCAGTAAGCTGAAAACATCGGCGCAAAAGACGGTCAAGCATGGAGGAATAAAAAGTGTTTGCCCTAAAATAAAATAAATAATTTTACTTGAAATGACTAAATTGAAATAAAAAAAAACTGACTTATTCCAAAACCATCCATATACATGATTCATGTGCACTAAACCTGTTTATGAAACTTTTGCAGGATTTTCCAACAATATTCAGAGATCGAAATTCCTCTTTGTATCCATTATTACGAAATGAAAATTCTGGTTTTCGAGATCCTCGCTGGTTGAATATAACACCACTATCTGCTGTTGGAACTGGTTCTCACGTATCTTACATTTGCAACAATCCATTGCAGAACAAAAACAAAGTCAGCCCGTAAGTTGTCTTTTTACAAATTTGTTATTTATTGTAATAGAGTTTGTTTTATATCGGGAGGCTTGATTCAAATCAGGTTGGTCCCAAGGTTGCGAGATTGAATGGCCACAGAAAATTTTGCAGTGTGGTAAAATGAGGTAACCCGCAGTTGGGTAAAATTCAAAAGGGATCGAAATACTGCGAGTTTAGTTACTTTAAATGTATTAATGAATGAGAGTTTATCAAATATCATTTCCGTCATCGGGCTGCACGGAATGTGCCAGGGCTTGGACCACCCTGATTTAAATTACTCGGAAATTGACAAACAAGAGAGCAATGATCGCTACTACGGTGTTGAAATATTTCCAGCTAAATGGTTGTACCAGATGTCATGTAGAGGTGTTCCCATTAATTTTGAAAAACATAAAAATTTGGGGGCAAAATGTCAGGACCTGTAGGACCAATCGTATATTTTACTTTAAAGGAGTAATTTCAACTCGCCCAAATTATAAGAAAAAAAATAGGAAAGAGGTATTGTTAGTCTGTGCTTGACACGTTACCAATTGCCATGTTACCACTGAACCTATCAATATATTTTTATGACCTACTACAATTTAATTGCGTTTGCGAATTCTTTCACTATCAAGTCCATGCATCTGATACGAATAACTCTATAGCTATTTCCATACCGAACATGGACTTTGTATATGGACAACTGGCCTTGGTTTGCCTTAAATTGAAGAAGTCTTGCCAACTTTCTTCTCAGGGACAAATATAAACATCCTATCCTCGTTGTCAATTTAAATTTTTTTCATATTTACATCCACTATTCATGGCAGGCTTGTTGTTACTGCACTCGTGTTCAAATCATCTCTTCTGATACCAATGCTTGTAAGACGTGATCTTAAGAGCGTTAAAGAAACTTTGGAGATTTTAAAACCAGATGAAATTCAGGTATGAATACTGATTTGAATAGCTGCTCAGTAGTGTTGCACTGTAATTACATAGTTGTATTATATGGTTTTGCCGATTTCAGTTGTTTAATTTTTACGAAAAGCGCTGACCACACCATAGCTGTGGGGCTGATAAGAATGCCAAAAAATTTGGGTACGACCGTAGTGTGTGTACCAGGTTAGGGTTAGGCCATAATTTTATTCCGTTTTTTTTTTATTTTAGTTCTATTACGAGTTCGGGGACTGTCTGTGTTGGGCTAGTGTGTTGGTCCTTTTACACAACTTGATGTAAAGTAGGCGAACAAAATTATTTACCTCCATATTGGTACACAATACGCGTACTTCTGTAGCGCTAATAAAAGCTGGAGCGCTTAGTTAGTTTTCAAATTCTCCTTGTATTTCTAAATTCAAGGCACTTTGTGACGAAAGATGTGATGGTCAGAGGAATATAATCCACGTCGCTGTTTCCACAACAGCACCTTCCCCTAACCGAGATCATGATGGAGAGGAAGAAACTGATCAGAAAAAAGAGGATACGGCCGATGACGATAGAAAGAAGAAAGATAAGGATTCAAAGAAACCGTTCAGATTTTTTAAACCTCTCGATGGAACGAATACAGAAACTACTGCAACATCTACACCGGCCACTGAGTCCAGCAACGGTAAATTATAATGAATTATGTTTTTTTATACAAGATCATAATTTGGTTTGAAAGAGCTTTGAGGTGATCATTGATAAAATACTGAAGTGTTTAACAGGTGAACTAATTTTTTAAAACTGGACGCAAAGTTTCAAGCGGGAACAAACAAATCCTCGTGACCCATGTCCAGAGGAATATTGAGAATTTGCATAAATACTATTTACTTTCATAATACCGATGTTCACGGCCTGAATATAAATTTAATTTTTATTTCAGAAGTTTCCAATGCAAGGTCATCTGCTCCAGCTGACGTTAGTCAAACTTCATCAAGGACTTCCACACTATCTCATAGTATGTCACAAAGTGAAAGAGTAAACGCTGCCACCGCTATTGCGAATGCCATTTCTGTCGTAACAAGAGGCGAACGAACTGGACCGCCAAGCGTTGCTAGCGAGAGAACAAGGTAATTGGGAAAAATGCCCTGGGGCGATGGTTTTCTATATGGGTTTCGTGACACCCTAGGGATCTGCCAGTACAGTACTGGGATTCTGCAATTTTCCATTCGAATCTTAGAGTCTGTGTTGATATGTTAATGTATGTTGGTTTAGGTATAATCAAATACCTCAAAGGTTTGCCACGATTATTGAACTTTTTACACTTCAAAGATCATTTTGTTTTGCCAGTATTATATTTATTAGATAAGCTTCAATATAACTTTATAGTTTATATAATTCAAACAAAAGATAAACGAGAATATCGGTCAGAGACCGAAGACTTATAGATCGAAAGTTAGGGAATTCCTCCAAAACAGCGCTTTTACTCTATAGTGACACCTTGTGTCCCATCACTAATTAATTAATAACTCGCTAATTATACGACATTATTCATCCAAAATCAATAGGCTTTTGGTCCGACATATGATGAATGCACATGCAAAATCTGGAGCAGATTCAATCTCGCTTTCGTGAGATATCGCGTGCATCTAACAGACAGACAGACAGACAAATACCTATCAACATACTTACCGATTAAAATCGATAAGTAATAAACTATCACACAGAGATTTCTAGAGGCTCTGGAATGTTCCATTGGGTTTTCACTCCATCATACAGGATGAAAACCGCTTTCTTAGGGATTACCTTTTTTTGTGTTAGTGACTTTTTTGAGTCAAGACAATAGCGAATGATATGAATTTCATGAAATAGATTTTGCAAATATTTCAGATTCTAAGCATTGTTAACAAATTTCCGATTCTTCAGTAATTTTGAACTACTTTTTGTTTAATCTTATATTTGAGTGTCTTGCATATAAGGACTTTGAAGTGACCAGGAAAATCTTAATTAAAAAAAAAACTTTTATTACAGATTCATGCGGGATATCATGCAACAATTTGCAGATGTTTTAGACGACCATCCGTCCAGTTCTTCTGCTCCAACGTCGTCAACTACAGTATCAACTTCTGTTTCACAATCTTCTGCATCCAGTCATAGAAGGGTAGGTTCTATTGTTCTCAGATCAGTCGTCTCTGAGGGTCTTTGGGACACTGAGGAGTTCAAAGAAAAACTTTGAGGAAATTGAGGGGGCGTGACCTTTGCATGCATAATATGCAACAACATTTGTTCATGTCGCGAAATGAAAGCCGCATAAATTGATCAATACTACCAATTTTCAGATTCCGACGATTATCAGAGAAGGAAGACAATCTAGTTCTGTTGATGAACCAATGGAAGTTCTACAATCGCCATATAGATCGTCACCCACCCCCGCCATACCCACATTATCTTGGCCACCGGATCCCACGTCATTCAGTCCTCTTCCTTTACCATCCTGGTCTAGAGGTATGTTAACCTTCACTTGGAATGTTTTAGTTTTAGAATTGAAAAGACTGTTTTGAACTGAAAATTTCATTCTTTATGATAATTTTGTCTTTTTAGTCTTCGAAAGAATTCTTGCAATTTAATTGAACTAGGGAGCAAGGAGATTTTATCGCAGGCTGCGGTGTCAGTATTGGCACGTTTTCATTGGGTCAAAATCACAGATTTGCAATGTTAATGATAAATAAAGTAAGAATTTCAATCGGTTACTGAAGAAGCATTAATAAGTTGACTAAACATTCTGAACAGATGCTTAAAGATGGCTTCCACACACAAATTCGTTCTTCCAGGGTTCGGCGCTAAAGTCGAGTCAGAATGTTTTCAGCAGCCAAGAGCGAAATTTTATGTTTTTTATTTGTTTTGGGGTTTGGAGTCGTGGCCTTGTGCAAACTCTCCCAAACTCAATATACCTGGTTCTTTTAACCTTTGATACCAATGTAATTCAGTCCGATTCTTCTTAGATAAAAAAAAATTTATCTTTCAGAAGAAGGTCTAAACTTGTCAGTGACAGACAGTAACACTGGAGTTACTTCCAGTTCCCGATACACTGGTGCTAAACCATCAAGTAAAAGAGCAAAACGAAAACGATCTATAACTCCACCAGTCGCAGACGTACCTAAACCATTACCAAAACGTGGGACCCAAGCAGACGGTATTGCAATCGTAAAAACATTGTGCACTGCCAAATCAATGCAACCAGTTATCTTAAAGCTTCTATCACAAAGGTATGTGATAATTCCGTAAGAAAATTTCTAGAACAGCCTTTCTCAATATACATTTTTCCCTGGGCCTAATCTGAATCTTTTTATTCTCTCTCACTATGCATAGAAAACTCTGTTCCTGTTGTTAGCTTGTTTTTGTACGCATAACTTGCTCTTTGTCTTTTGCTCAAGGTAAATAGTTTATTATGTGTGCATCAATATGTATAACAGTATTATTGAATAACACAATAATATCAAAGCATGAATACGAAATAAAATTTTTGGTAATAAAACGCCATTCCCATAACTCATAGTGTAATAGATTGGCTACAAATATCTGAGCTATTTTTTTTTTCTGTATTATGGAATTTTTAATTAGAATAATCAAAATTTTAACCTGTCATCGGCTAGCAGATTAAATATTTTTGGAAATTGTTGGCAAATTTAATACTTATTTACATTTTCTTTTTTCTATTCACACAGAGATGCTCTTGGTCATACTCCGTTCATGTCAGCAATTTATAACCGGGCATATTCTGCTGCTATGGAAATTTTCTTGCAAGTTCAAGCCATCGCTGCAAGAGAATATTTAACTCAACATGGAAAGGAAGAAGAAATGGAGATCGACTCTGAGAATATCAAATGTAATTAGAATATCTTTTGTCTGTTTTGTTTGTCGAGTAGAATAGAGTAGAGAATCCAGATTAGAGTACAGACACAGTGGTTCTCACGGTGGGGCACGCATTTTTTGGGGGCATAAAGCTAATTAAAAATAAAAAGAGATTAGATTTATCTTGCTCGTCTTATTATGGATATATACATTTCTTTATTATAGGTATCTACGTTCCATCCATGTATTTTCAACGTGTTTTTTCAACAAAACATACTTTCGCCTTACTATCTGTTATTTGTAGCTTATTTTTGAACTAAGGCGCGAGACGAAGAGGCGCGGGCGAAATTCTGAAAAGGGGCGTGGCTTTAAAAGTTTGTGAACCACTGTTTTAGTAGATCCCAGATTCGAATGCAATGTTGACAGCTTTCGTTCAAAAGAAAACTTGACGAAGCTGTTTAGAGAAAATTAGGAAAAGAAAATGAATTGTCTTCATTTTCTTAAAAGTTTTTAAGGAGTTTTTGTGTCACCCAGTGTAATGTGGCACAGCATAAATAATAGAACATGGATGCACAAATTAGATGCCATTACCCCTCAGCTTATTTTGAATTGATAGTGTCCGTGTGCCTCTGTGCGAGGAGCTATTAACTGTGTAGTCATGTCATGTGTAGTCGAATTTTTAAAGAGTCCGCTTTTAGACTTCCGAAGGTTCCGACGGAAATGAGAATAGCATATCAACTAAACATTTTCACTCATAATTGTTTCATGGTAAAAATATTTTTTAAAGTTTTTTTTTAAAGTTGGAAATAGGAGAGAGAGAGTAAAATGTCTCACAGCCTGGTTTCTGAGAATAGTCATGAGTTCAGTTTTGTATGATCGGAGATTTAGGATTTTCATGCCATCATGAACAGGCTGATGTTGTGACTGGATAGTTCTGCACTCATAACATTCACATGTTGAGACATTTACTTAATTAAACTGGTAATTTTATTTTTAGTTATCTGTCACGGTCCAAAATACGAGGAAATTTTAATGTCAATGATATTTCCCAAAGCATCAGATTTAGACAACAATCCGTTGTATGTTTTGCTGACTAACGATACATGCAGTTTTACCTGGACGGGTGCTAACCATATCAACCAGGTATATGTCCTATCAGTTTTTATGTTATTTTTGATATTTTTATTTTGTGCGTTCCTTTAAGGAAATCTCCGACCAATAATAATAATCCTGTCCATTCTATGATAGCTATCCAAGTTCAGGTATATGCGCTCAAGAGGACTCGTTGGTGGTGATATGAACTATTCTGGGACTTCTATTTTTAACATCCCTTTCGGGGCATTTTTAAACCTGCGAACGTATGATCGTCACCAGTAACTTTTAATAGTAGTAACAAGCCATTTTTCCTTGAATAATTAGTAATATGGTTCGCGCATTACAGTCATCATTTTTACAGGACATATTCGAATGTTGGACTTGTGGTCTTACTGGAACATTGTGCTGCTGTTCTGAATGTGCAAGAGTTTGTCATAAAGGACATCAATGCAAGTAAGTAGACTAGTGGATTTCATATCATAGTTTTCCTGCTTTGCATTTCCAAATTAATTCAGGGAAAGTAATAATTTCAGTTTGACTTTACTAGGTATGCAAATTGATATCTAAATATACTACTGCTAGGACAAGGTGGTCCAAGGTTGTCGGCTCCGCGAGCCACAAAATTATTTTTGCTTTGTTCGCGGGCCATAATAGTGCCAAGAATAGGTAAACAGTGCAATACAAAACAAACACTTTTATTGTGCAAACATAGTTATCAGACATAGCCATTCTAGGCTAATAGAATCCGCATTCAATATTTAGTTTTCTCTGAATCCTATATTGTTAGCATATATTCCCCACCAAAAAGTTAGATAGCCAGTTAACAATTCAGACTGCCAAGCACATTCAAATTAGAATTTCGCTAGTTGCCTCAGCTAGCCTTAATCCTATTTAATTCAGTGACATTAGTGATGACAGTATGTCAAATGATTTTTCTGAATAATTTTATGACGAAACAACACGAAATGCGATTTTTTGATTACTCTCCGAATGTCACGCGGGCCACAGATAATGAAGCGGCGGGCCACATGTGGCTCGCGGGCCTGGGTTTGGACCACCCTGTGCTAGGGTTTCGTCTCCCGATTCCAGTGATAAAAATACTCTTATGAAATTAAAAACGCTGGACTTTTGACTTGACATCCCAGGAATTTTGGCTTCCAGCTCCAGCAAGATCAAACTTCCAGACATTCCTGGAAAGGCTCTGAGAAGTTCAAATCCTAATGACTTTTGGCTTACCAGCCCCTTGATGTTTATTCATTTTTATCAATTTCCATTTGATTTTTATATAGATTGAAGAAAACTAGTCCAACTGCATATTGCGATTGTTGGGAGAAATGTGCTTGTCGCTCTCTCATGTCTGGAGAAACTAACTTTAATGATCGTAATGAACTTGTACAAAAGCTCTTGAGCGAAACAAATTTGGTTGATTTATCAAATGCGAGAGGTGAAACAATGCTTCAGTTTTTGGTAAGTTCGCATTTTTTTGTGTTTTACTCAGTGATGTATAGTTTAGATTTTCACAGCGTAGAAAATACACATCGCAGATGTATTACACGATCCTGGAGTTTAATACTATGTGTGGTAGGATTGCCATTTGCAGGGGTTTTCATGGTCAGTTACGGATTGTCCACCATGAAGTTGCACCTGAAACATTACCATACCCGATATGGATTAGTACCCGGACGAAAGGTTGTGGTTCGCCATTCGATTACTCCGTCTCATTGACTTGTCTCTTCTCTTCTAGGATGAAATAAAAATCCTATCTTATCTATATCAGCGTTTCGAAGAATACTTCATAATATCAAAACATTGTATTGCGTCATATTTGTTTCCATTTCGAACAGTAGATTATTTGGTTTTAGCCATCAATGTCAAGAATGGCCATTTCGCATATAACACAGTCATTTTGAATAGTTATTTCTGAACATGTTGTTTCTGGTTTTATTTATCAATCTTAGCTGATTCTTTTCCCCATCTTTCATCACAGGCTCATACAGTCGCAAGACAAACAGTAGAACAGCGTCAACACAGGCCCAGAAGTAATGCATCATCATCCAGGGCAAATCGTTCTGCCAAAAGCACAATACCAGGAGTGGAATATGATGTTCCTCAACATGATCTTTTGCCACCAACGTAAGAATATTACTTCCTAAAATATGATCTTTATTGTTTAAACAACATGTCATTGTTCAACTCATCAAGACAGTTGAGTCTGCGTCGTATTTTCAAAATCTCTTGGAGTCTTTTGGAATGAGAATTTCACACTTTCAATGGTGATGATAAAAGTGAAAACCTCTATATAAACTCACTGCGTATGTTTGATTGTCAATTAGAGTTTTTGTTATCATAATTTGGTTTTTCGTAGAGTTTGGAGCTGGGAGTTTAGGTCAAATTTTTTTCAACTCGAATTAAATCTCACATTTTTTTTTAACCTGGAGTTTAGTTGATTCGAAATCTGACTCCTTGTGACTTATCCAAATGGACAGTTTTGTTGTAGTGGGAATTTAGCATGACTTGATGATATCGGAGTCATGGGTGTCAAGTCAAAAACTACAGGAGTGGAAGTTTCTAATTTTTTGGAATATTAAGAGCGCTTAGTTTTTTGTGAAAAATTTTGACTTCTATTATCACCATTGGAAATGTGAAATATCTGATCTCTGATTTTGGGGATCTCTGATACGATTCTAGCACATCTTCAGTGACCTGACTCCACAACACAGTGTCAAGCTTTACTCTTTTGTTAATGCATGACAATCTTTTCTTTAGGTTCTGTCGGGACGCATTCCTATTGCTTCTACATGATTGGAAATCCGTAAAAGCTACGATCATGTCAAACTCTCCCGGTCACATGGATCCGTTGTGTGCCAGTTCACTTCCTGATCAAATTGGGGCTGACCTTTCACCCCTGCTTTTGCCAGAAGAAGAAGAATGCATGTCGTCACAAACAGGGACGAGTAAACTTGATATGTTTACTTTGTGTCTTCTTGTAAAATGCAACACCATGTATTTGGATATGTTGTTGGAAACTTTAATCAGTCGGATTCAGGAAACCAGTAATTCCTCCAGCAAGAATGAAGATTTAGAGGTGATTATGATGGATATGATTCTGATTTGCGGGTTTCTAATTTAATGATGTATATAGTCTTCTGTATTGATAGTATTTAGAGATTAGAGTTGCGCTTTGATATCAATTTTGGTGTAATTGTGTTTTCTGAAGTGCTACATTTGAAATTATCTCATAACGCACTAATGTGTTGCAACGCACAGTTTTAAATCCATTGTGTTAAGTTGTTGTTTTTTTGCGATTTTTTTTACATGGCTGTCATTTGCGCTATATAATAACAATTCTTTATTTTTCAGGTTGTTCATCGCTTTGTAAGATCCGTCGTTCGAGTATTTGTTGTTCTGAGTGTTTGTACAAGTTCTGAAAATCAATCTGGGAAACAGATCGGACGTAACATGTCAAACAGCCAACCTTTGAAAAGAGCGCAGAGAGCGTTTAATGTAAGTTGTATAATAAGAGAATTGGGAAAATTTATTTGGAAGGCGGAAATCGAATTATCGAGAATTTTACTCAACTTATATCTTTCTCAAATTATTTGCCGTATTAGAAAAATTTCGCCTAATTTTGTCAGTTGTTCAAGAGACATACATACAGCATTTTCCTGTACCCGCCCTAAATTTTGGAATTTAAATATTTCATGCTCATTTTGGTATCAGATGGGCAGCACCCAGATTAATCTGCTTTAGGTATTTGATTCATAATTTCATCGCGTTGTGTTTCACTACCTCCATGAAATTAAATACAAAAAATTGGTCTCAGGAAAATGCTTCTAATCTAATGACTAATAAAGTCTTTTCAGAACTTGTGAATTTTTGATTCTTATGTATTCTCAATTCGGTTTACGCTTTTTTTCATAGAGAGGCTCATAGTCATAATGAGGGTTTCGAGGTAAAGGTTAAATGTTGCAATGGATTTCCAAAAAATCATAGGATTTTAAAAATCAAAAACATACTGTAGTTTTCCTTATTTTCTCAATCGGCTTTATGTATTCCAACTTCTTATGGTTACTGGTTTTAACATAGTTGGTTTATTATTTTCCATATATTTATAGGCACTTCTTCCGATGGCAGTGGGGGAGTTATGTGAAATGGCAACAGCATTGATTGATCCAGTTCGTATGGGTGTAGCAAGACCTACATTGAAGTTTCCGGTGTTGCCGAGTAGTTCGGACGCAATTCAAGGATGCGAGTCAGCATTCTCTAGAGTCCCGTTCCCTCCGAGAGATCGATCAGAAAAGAAGAAAAAGGGCGATCGAAGACGATTAAATGATGGATCAACGTCTTCATCTATTTCTGCTGCTTCGCTAACTACACCGAGACCATCATCGCGTGGAAATTTTGCAAGAAGAGGAATTAGCCATCGAAGATCTCGAAATTTCGGTATGTTGGGGTAGTGGTCACTTTGTCTGTGAGTGACCAAACAAGATGTCCGAACGTTTCTGTGCAATTTCTCTAAAATAATTGGCAAATAAGTATCTCCTAGTAGATTTATTGTGATATTTGACATCAAACTTTATTGCTCTATAGAACTCTTGAAAACCGAACTATTGGAATATGAATGAAATAATTATTTATTTAGGAAAAGAGATTTTTTTGTTAGCAAACACCAAAATCTTTCCGATTCGCTTAGTCTTGGATTAACCAGGGTCCGTACTTGAATACAAAACCCAAAACTCATATTTCACTAAACCACGTTTTCGTTTTTTAATCCAAATTTTTATGTTTTTCAAGGTTCGCCCAGAGCGAATACAGACAACGGAGGCTCCAACGATGCTAACGGCCATGAGAGAGTTCGAAGAATAGCGCAAGACGTCATTCAAAACGCGTTCGCAGATGACTTGGTTCGTATCAATAGAAGAGCTCGAAATGAAATGAGAGAGTATTCGTCTTCATTTACACTCGAAGAAGATAATAATTTTGAGATACTCTCGGATGAAGAGGAAGATGTACATGAACCTAGAGATTGGCAGATCGTCGAAAGTTCTAGAGAAAATAATGAACAAGAAGAAAGAACACAAGAGGTAATGTAGAATCTTAGTCTTTCATGTGTCATCTTACATCTCAGTGATTCCCAACTCCCAGATTGGAAAACACTGATAGACTATGATAATCCTCGCTTGTTCCCAGTTTGTGTTTGCACCGAAAAATTGACCAATTATTAATGATTATTCACTTATCGGCGAATTATGCCAAATTTCCGTTTTAAAATCATGTTGGTTATTAAGTTTTCTTGTCTTTCATCATTTTTTTCTTTTCAACAGAATACGTCACAATCATCTACTATTCAAACAGAAGAATCTCAATCTATGAGGAATTCTGAACAAGATGATCATCCTATCCATGATGAAAATCAAGAGGATAATATGGACGATGATAATGTACAACGAGATGAGGTACGATTTGCTTTAGATTTTTTCCTTATGATGTCAATGGTATATAACATACTTTAATGAAAAGGAATTTTAACATCAAACTTTCATGATCTATGGTCACTTTCAAAGTCTCAACTCTCCATGGCCTCCTCCTTTTTAATAAATAAAAAATCTAGTGTTATTTGTCACTGATTTCTATCAGATATTTATTGCCAATAAACAAAGAATAAATATGTTGCACTGAAAATTTGTAGCGAATCACAGTTAAATTACTTACTCCGTGAATGATAGTGAACGTCATTACGGGCTCCATAATAAAAAGTTAGAGAATCCCTGCTCTCTTGCATCGGTACGAATATGTGACCTTCGTGTCAATATATTTGAGATTACTCTCTTATTTTAAATCAGATGATGGAACGAACGGAGAGTCAAACCGAAGTGGTGAGTGAGGGAGATTTGGATGTTGATGATGAAGACCAAGACACTCAAGAAAATCATGACCATGAAGAGGATGAGGACAATAATAACCATGACGATGAAGAGAGTGACATGGAACTAACACTACTTGCTGCGAGTGACGCTGACACCGATCAGGATAGCAATCAGAGTGGACAAGTATGTTTGCTCGATTATATTTTTTTGAAAAGAATTTTATAATGTCTATTCATTCATGGCTTTTGCTTCGGCCTTTAAATTATTGTTTTTGGAAGCTTTACAAAAATTAAAATTTGAAAAATCATTTTGAACAAATAGAGTGTCACTCAGCTTTTTTTGTGTAACATGACCTGATTCAGGATATATTGAATATAAAAAATTATTGTGTATATGAGAATTTTGATTATTTATTTTGTGATGACGTAGTAAAATCTCAATCTGACCTGAGTGATTACACAGTTCTAGCCTCTTCCAGAGAACACATCACATTTTCAAATTTGAAAAAATATGAATTTGAGGCGAAATTAAAGGGATCATAAGTATTATGAGAATAAGTTAATTTCGACTCCATGATCGGCATAATAGACAGTAAAGTAATTGATAAAAACAAACTAAATGAAACTGACTATAGAATCGGGAAGGCAAACAAAGCCTCAAGTAAGGTTTGAAGTGTACAGATTTTAGATGGAAATTGATAAAAGAAATAGTGCACCATCAGTGCGATAGTAACAATATTACTCAAATCTACTCTCTTTTGATCAGGATGAGGAAGTAATCTCCGAGGAGGACATCGGTGACGATGATGAAGATGATGATGACGATCAAGATGAGGAAGAAGAAGACAGAAATACTTATGTGATAACGTCAGGAGATGAAGCCGCAACTGCCACAGATTTAGATGAGGAGGTTGCGAGTCTTTTTATCAAAAAAAGTTGTTTCGAAGTTCACGTCGGGGTATTATTAACGACCACATGTCCGCTTACAATAACACCATGTTTCGTTTTGCATTCGATTTTTGAAATCAGCAATGAAGATTTGATATATTTCAATTTGTTTATTGACTTTGAAAGAAATTTTGTTAGAATAAATTTCAAAATTTGAGCTATTAAATGAAAGTTCTTAATCAAAATGATAGCGTTCGTCTGTAATATTGTTTGTTCTATTCTGAAATTAAGTAATGAAATTTTAAAATATTTCTATGCAAATATTTACTTTCACCCATACCATACATGATGTCGTGAATGGTAAAAAAACAAGAATTCCACTAGTGTTTTTAAAAATGAACAATTGGTTAAAATACTTGAAAATTAACAACTAAATGTCTTACCAAAGGATGGAAGCAGTCAAGATGATGATGATGTAATAGATGAGGAGGCTGGAGATCAAGATGAGGGAGATAATGAGGATGAAGAAGAACAAGAGGTAGAATCTCCAGCTGATTGGGTTGAATTCCCTCTAGAAAGAGCACCAACTCGGCTTCAAAGATCCAGAGCGGCGATGGCTCCTCACTCAATGAGATGGGCTCTCGGACAGAATCCAAACCCTGGACGTGGAGGTGCGACCTCTAGTGGAAGCAGGACGTCTGGACCAGGGTCAAACGGACCAGGGAGTGGTCTGATGTATATTGATCCTCATTCTTTGTGGAGAGGAAATAATTCTGGAGTGAATTGTGAGATTTTAAAAACAAATTTTATGTTTTTTATTATTTTATATCTTTGTAGATAGGTTTGCGAGTAATTTTCAAATTTATAACTAATTTATGTGGGAAAATAAAAATGATGTTAATATTTTTATATGTGCTACAGCATACATGAACGTATCGCCAATTTGTGTGTCTAACAAAATTATTATTGAATTATGCTTCTTATCTATGGCCTTCTAAAAAAACATGGCTCTAGCGGCACATACTAACCGCCAGTGCAACGTAGAAGCCATTTTTCAGAAAAAGCAGAATATTTTTAATTCAGCATTTCCTATACAATTTAGTTACACCTTGTGAGAGGTGGAGGGCGTGATGTCTAAACCTGATACCTGATTGTGATTCTGCGATGCCAACTATTTGCAAAAAATTGCCAAATCCACGTTTATTGATTATCTTCTGTAGTTTTGCAAGAATTTAACTATTTTCTGTTAGCTACAGCTACACCCAATGTATCAGCAAGTGGAGATTCCAGCAAACAAAGTTCTGGAAGAAATAGTCATTCCGCATCGACTACAAACGCACAACTTGCTCGTGCTTTCGGAATTTGTGTTCGAGAAATGGCTTCGTTATTAATCATGCTTTGGCAGAAAGAACATATTGTGAATACACCGCTCCTTACGTTCCTAGAATTGACTTTTGAGGTTTGTTTGATTGCTTTCAGTTTTTCGTCTTGTTTCAAATTGAAGATATGGCAATTTGAGTTCAAAAATCTGTCTTACTTCAAACTATACAAGATTTCAAAAAATTTTGATTTTTTTTTCTATAAAACGTGTTTCTAAGATTCAGATATTCATTAAAAATTAGCAATTTTGTTATTTCACCGAAAATTCTTTTTTATGTTCGTGATGTATAATTAATCATTCTCTTATGAATTGATTCAAAATTAATAATATTTAATATTTTATTATCCTGATTTAGGAATAATTTAGAATAGCCTTTTTATTAATATTTTGACGATTGTGGCATCCATCCTACATCCAATTTCTGAAAGCTGCAAGAAATAAAATAAAAACATATAAATCATTGTTCAAGTAACCTTTCCTGAATCTCCAAATTCAAACTCATCGAATTGGACATTGAATTCTATGTTTTTATTGCACCCAATTTGGAAAATATTTGATACTCCATATTTTACACTATTATTTTATGATATATTTCGTTTTGGCTATACAAAACAATTCTTATATCCATTTTTAGGACGTTCAAATGATGAATGACTTCGTTGAAGCCACATTATCACCAACATGGAAATGGCTTCTCACTGTCATTGATTCTACCGAAGCACAATTAAGATATGGACAAGTTTTATCGCTCGCTGGAAGTCCCGATCATATTGAACATCCTTTGTATAAAGGACCTGGTATGCTTGTAAATTTTGTTTCGAGTAAAATTGGATGTTCATATTCATCTCTGGGTAACATGATGCTTTTTATGGTGGACCATAGCCCATTGTACCGTTAAAAAAAAAAAAAGTATTCCTAGGATTGTACCAGTCACTGGTTGGGGATCAAAAGTTTCACGTTGAACTTCAAGACCAAACTATTATATCTTCCTCAGCCCAGAACAAAAACGTGGCGAATAAAATAACCGATCGAAAAATTGTTGAAAACAAAACTTGATTTTTTTTATTGAAGAACAGGGAGCCGTTGATCAGGAAAGTTTTTAAGGCAGTTTTTAACAATACCTACATTGGAATTATATCTTTTTTTCTCAGGTAAATCCCCCAATCGAAGTGGAGCAGGAAAATCAACACCTGATACATACAGACGTGGTGGCGGGGGTGCCCCCTCTTCTACGAGACCTTCGTCATTTCTTAGACTGGCAAGAGAAGCAAGTACTGATTCTAATGCTGCTAGACAGGTTGGTTTTCTATTCGTTCTTGCTAATATTTTACCTGATAAGATGTCATGCTACCTGAAATACCTAGCAATATTCTAATTAATGTAAATAATTGTAAATAGTTGGTTAAATTTGTAATAAACACTAGTTTGTGATGACTTTAATGAAACCATGTTACAAAAGTTAAATATTGGATATAAATTTCTTGCTTATCGCACATGTGAAGGTTACAATTTGATATGATACATTATATGAATGTAGTCTAAACCAGTGATTCCCAAAGTGGGCGATATCGCCCCCCGGTGGGCGAAAACGATACAGAGGGGGGCGAATAAGTCGAAGGGGGCGACAGGGGGGCGATTTCGCGAAACCTGTTTTTGTTCGGCGCATCGTGCACTTGGTTACTGTACTCTGCGTGCTTTCATAAGTTTGAATCACGTGGGCGATTATCACAAGCGAAAGGATTGCTGAACTCGTCTTCGCAGTAAGGTACGGCAGTTTGCGTATCCCAGTGGTCGGCAAAAATACGGCCGGAGTAAAATAACCTGACCCGGGATGCTTCACTGAATGGACCTTTCCCCGACCTTTGACCCCGGAAAATGCTTCCTATACTTTACCATTTTAAAATTTTCAGTGCTTATTCTAAGAGTGGTTTCGCGACTTGTTGCCTGTAAAATGGGGTATTTGTTTCAAACTATCATTCTAATTCATACCATTCAACAATTTGTTTTTTAAAAGTACCGGTAAAGAATTTTATCACAGCTATTTCTATACTAATTTTTGAATACTGTAATTAAACTGAAACTTCTAGGAAGACAAAGTGATCATTGACTTATTCGATTTATAATTGAATTTTCGAAAAAACAACTAAAACTAACGAATATAATTCAAAAACGCGAAAATGAGTTGATGTTCACGACCTCGCCTGAAAATCTGTCTGAGTGAGAAATGTGTCTGTGCGGATGCGAAAGGGGGCATTGTTACGTTTATTTTTGGATCTTGCTGATTAGCCAATGTCACGAAGTAAACAAGGAAGTTTATGCCCGGGGAAACACCCAAGCGGCGGTTTTGACTAAGAATTAATTTTATTTATAATCTACGCTCGAGGAGGAAATTACATTTTTTACGTAACAGAATTTATCGTGAGACACGTTTAGACTGAATTTCATTATATCCTAAAAATTCTACTGAACAGCTACTCATTTAACGAGCCTACAATTTAATTATAATTAGACAAATGGAAACACGCAGAAAAGTTGATGTTGAGTGCAGGGGTTCAATAGCGCAGTAAATATTCGAATATATTGCAATGCAATGAGGAAATTAAATTCATAGCCTCTTCAAGAGATTCGTTCACCGCTTAATTTTTGTAAGAATGTATCTTCTTTAATAAAATCTTCATCAAAATTTCACAAACCATGCGAAAATATTCACTTCGATGTTTGAAAGTACATATTTGTGCGAACAATTATTTTCGAAAATGAACATTACAAAGAACTAGGGTTAGTGATGCCCATTTAGAAAATGTTCCAATCTTGTCGTCGTAAGGCTATCAAGCGTAATACAGCAACAAGACAATGTCACAATAAATAATTTTTCAATAGGACGACTGAGTTGAGATCACGAATTGTCGCAGTTTTCGCACGCTGTTCCGTTTTTAATTTTTTAAAAAAATATATGCGACCCGTAAAAGACTAGCAACCCTAAATTTTGTCCCGCGAGCGACATAAAATTTGCCGACCCCTGGGCCGTAGCCGTTAGTTGGTCACGACTTCTTCCATATCCGAGTGCACGAATCCCAAACAATTGGCTGATTAATTCTATGGACTGGTGATCGGACTGGATGACGTGATAGGATGAGGAATCGGGGATGAATTTTACCAAAGGCCGTTATATATCATTATTTTGGTGCAGGTCATCAGGCTGTAGGGACGAACGAGATGTACGAAAATAATTAATATAAGTTTAGAAAGAGTAACTTTGTTTTCATTATTTTAATGTGAAATGGGGTCTATTTAAGGAGTTTAATGCTATAGGTCAAGAGTACACGGCGGTTTTTGAGAGGGTAAAACCCTAGATTTTTTCATTTCCGACCGCTAATATGATGAGGGGTTTTCAGCTGTGCTACTACTGCTACCAAAACAAAGAAATCGCTTTTCCATCAGTAAACGGGGTTATTTTAGATATAATAATAAACTCGCTGACGAACACCAAGCTCATCCATCTCATCAAAAAAGACTATAAACTATGAATTGTCTTCTTATTTGGTCTGTAATATATGCGTTCCTGGCCTTACATTTTTTTTTGTAGTGCTGGGGGGCGATGAAGTTGTATAAACTACTTTAGGGGGGCGATGGTACAAAAAGTTTGAGAACCACTGGTCTAAACTGTGCAGTAAAAGTTTGTTTGATATTTTTATGTCATTCAGTTGAAAAATATTGATGTTCTGGATTTATTGCAATAGACCTAACTATTGTGCCGTCTCGGGGTAAATATCTGTGATTCAAACCCTTTTCTCACCACCCCATTTAGGGTGTAATAAATTGGGTAAACCAGCTAGTTTCTTCAGCCTTCCCAAAAAAATGGTGATGGTTGAGAGCTTCCTCAGATTGAATGTGTAAAAGTATCCCATAAAAAATTTTTCATTTTACAGAATTTTTTCAGTCAGTGACAGGCTGTACAGTGCCTATTTCAGAGTGTAACACCAAAAGTTTAATTTTTTTTCAGGATTTTCTGAGTTACATTCTGTCTCTAATGAGAGCACACAGCGGAGAGCATGCTGATTATCTTCCTGTTATGGATGTTTCATCACTTCGACATGTCGCTTACGTTCTCGACGCTTTGGTATATTTCCTTCGTGAAACAGCTCCCATGTTTGATGACGATTCTAAAGGAAACAAGAAGAAATTTGGTGGTTTGTCGAAATCGGACGCGAACGCTCCAAAGCTTGTCGGATCAACTTTTAACATCGGATACGATAACACAGATGATGAGGATGAAGATGATGTTGATCTTCCTCCTCCTGTTGAAAGAGAATCTTCAACTGGAATCTCGGTGCCACAGGAAAAATTTGAAAATACTGTAAATATTTTGATGAGATTTTATTTTTTTTTTGATTTATTATGATTTTTTCGATTGCGGCACGGTGGTCTAAAGTTGACCTATTTCACCTATGTTTCATTTTTTACTCTTTCCATCTCGTTCCAGGATGAACTCTACTCTCTCGCTGTGAGTGACGTTATAGTTGGTGATATCATAGCTAATGCACAAGAAGTTGCGGATCCAACAATTCCGTTTGCGCAACCACAAAAATGTTTCTTTCGAAGATCTGATTCAATGTCTTTCCTCGGATGTTCTGATCCTGATCCTTTTATGGTGAGTTTTTCTGATTTTTAGCAAGATTAGTCGTATTTTAAAAAAAATGAATGCGTTTAGGAATATTCATAACATACTGAAACGAATTGTTTTAAAACCTGTGAACTCGAAGAATAGTTATCTAAGGTTAGTTAAGACCAAATGACAGGACATCAATGTGCAAGTTTTCTAGTGACAAGCTTGAAAACAGAGTTAGTTAGGTTTCATTAAAGTTTGAAAAAGACGTAAGATTAGCGGAAACACGAATCAAACATAATGTTGGTAATAGATCAAGAAAAGAGCTTCATTACTACATATACCAGGGGTGCCAGTGGCAGCATCTTTAGCGCAGCCTTGATGCTGATAATATTTCTCATCGGTTCCATTCTGGATTGTGAGATAAATTTTTAACTCGCAAATTGTAAAATAATATGATTGTAATGCTTGGTAGTGAAATACAGGTCATTTCATTCAGCTGATTTCTTGAAAACTTTTCATAAATTCATAAATATATTTATATAAAAAGCAATATATCCAAATAAAAGTGTTTTCAGAGACGATTTTAAATGAAATTTCCAATTCTTTCTCAGTGACCTTGCCTTGAGAGAATGATAACACTCAAAAATCATCTTTTTACTTTATTACAGGAGCCATTGGTGAAAGCATTGCCGTTAGCAGACAAACCACATTTACTTCAACCTAATGCAAGAAAAGAAGAATTGTTTGGTCGACCAAGACAAAGATGTGATTCAGTCGATGGTAAGTTAACTGTTGTCCTCACAAAAATTCAAAAAATAACAAATAAATTAATCGTTTATGTTGAGTGAAATTACGCTTTGTTTTCAGATGCTGCGTTTTTTGATCCGGATTTACCAGGAACTGGAATGGGACAACTTCGCCACAAAATGCCGGCAAAATTTGAAAAATTAGAAGAGATAAGAGAACGAAGTATGTATTTCACCAAATTAGGGTTCATTATTTGTTTCAAAATGTTGTTGTCCATGGGATTTCATAGATTCTTGTTGCCTATGTCCCTTCATTCATTAAAAATACACCAGACGAAACTGTAGTAAAAAAATATATAATATTATACAGATTGCATTTGTTGAAATTCCAATTTACATATTCAATTAGTTATTTTTATTCCTGCATATTGAATTTAAATTATAAGGCAGGATTTTTTTGCCGTCTCTTTTCGGAAGTGGATACAATTACCACCTCATCCTATAACAATTCTTTAGGCGTTTGTTACTGTCGTTCTGCTCCACGAATTGTGATTGTAATTTTTGATTTTAAAATTTGACCAAAATTCCGATTTTACTTTGATTTTTTCTTCACGTCTTTCACTATGAGCAAGGCCCTGTTAGAAAATCCTCCGATATCTATTGATGTATAACGAGCTTCTTTCCTTTGGAAGTTACCAAGTTCGCTCTACACTCCCTATTTATTGCACTATGGGTGAGGTTATGGGTATGGTATTTGAACCTGAGATATATAATCTGTGATGCTAACACATTTATTTCTAACTCTTCATCACTATACCATTGCGCCAAAATGCGAGTTGGTTATCTTGTTTTTCAAAATAAATATTAAGTTTGAATTCTTTTTATCATTATTGCCAAAACTTTTTCATTCATTTTGTCGAAATTCATTTATTTCAACAGTGAAAGAAAAGAAGTCTGGTCTGATCAGCATAGGTGTACAAACGGAAGATGAAGTTGCTGAAACACAAGCAAACACAGGTATGTCAATTCATCAACAGAAGTTTATACTTTTTCTTCATTTTCTCAAAACTTTCTTTTCAAGTTTCTCAGGTACTCTCCTATAAAAAAAAAAGATTTGTTTCGAACGGTTTTCCATAAGTTTCATTTTATTCTTCATTTTTTATATTAAAAATCTAATAATCGAAAGTTAAAGAGTAAATTACAGTCAAAAAATTAACAAATTAGACATTTTTTTCCATTGAAAGTGGTACATAGTTAGACCTTATTCTGTTGCCCTCAGAGAACTGCTTTTATAGCCCCTTAGAATGGCTGTGGGCCCAGTTTTAAGAATACTGCAATAGGTCAATAAAATAATATGCATGAAAGCATGCATCAATCTCTTTTTCAATTTCTACAATAATATATTGCAAATTTGCTTTGACAGAGGAACAATTGGGTAGATTGGATGCTCAAAAATTAGATGATGACAAAAATTCAACTCAACCAATGGAAGTTTCTGACACAAAAGGTAACAATTTCAATGTTGATGTGGTAAATTGATCGATTCTTTTATTTATCAATTATTTCAAAACGAGGCGTGAAGTTTACGCATGGATAGTTGAGGATAGTTAGAATGTCGTTGCCTTGAAAAATTGCTTTTGTCCACAAAAAATGAAGCACTTGGTTTTCAAATTTCAGTTCTTAAAGATAGAAGAAGTTGCTAAAAAACCAATGCTTTTCTTTATTCTTTTTTAGCGCTGTATTAACTATAAATTTTGCTGGTTTTATATTTCAAGGCACGTAATCACACGAGACTTTTTTTCAATCATTTTTGCAAAGTATATTTATAAGTTCTTCCTGTATTAATACATCGTTCCAAATTTTCATACCTTGCGTGATGTTGCGGACATGCGATTAGATTTTAACCTGCGATTACGCCCACCGTGCTTTGATTTGGTACAAGTCTTTCAACATTTAGCGCGAATATTTCTGATTTTGCACTGGCCATATTAATACATATGTTTGAGCTCTTGTGTAACTTCTTACATTCTTTGTTTCTGCTATTTTAGAAGAGACAATCAGCAATATAGAAACAGATTTAGCAAGTAAGTTTTTTGTTTTGTTAGATAAGTTTTGATTTTTTTTATTACAACGAAAAATTCATTTTTTACATCACATTTTGTATAGCATACGCAACTTTATAATGATACTCAAAAGCCTATATATGATCAAGTACAATTGCCTCTGATATCTTCAAATTAAATAAAAAATGAAATATTGAATCAACAATATTTTCAATTGACGATTTTATTATAAATGTCACTTTTTCATAAAGACAGACAATAAACTAAATCTTTTTGCTATGAATAGTTACACCAGATTATTAAAATATTGTATCTTCACACAAGTTCATGTAAAATTGGCGAACAAAATTAGTAACCTCCATACACATACATTTAGAGCGCCTATCTCACCTATGATGAGGATTATTTTTGTCATATTTTATTTCATATTTCAGTCATGGCACCTCCTGCCCAAACAGTAATCGTGAAAACTGAGACCCAGAAAACAAAAGACCAACCAGCAAATGAAATAAAGAAAATACAGGTGAAGATATTTTTTAGCTCTCTAACACCTTTACACTTCCATTTATGTGCTTGCAAACACATCCATATTCAGTGGTGCATGAGGTGGTTTTCAGCATCAAAACTAAGCCCTTTTGAAATTTTTATAATACTGAAAAGGTCACGAAGGATGCGTGTTTGATTTTAACATGACTAATTTTGTTCCAATCGCTGATAGTTTACATCGGCATGACCTGATTATTTAAAATGTAAACATTCTCAAATTCTCCCTACCTTAAAAGGACATGGATTACTTGTTTTTTTTTTTAGTTATCTTGTGAACATGTGCAACAAGGTATTGAAGCTGATTGAAGTAGTGAATATGCACTCCAATTTTTGTTCATATCGGAATACTTTACTTTTTGAATGTTTTGCCAAAAACTGTTTTCTGCTTTAATAAGTCCAATTGTGTTGATAGATTATATAGTAATAGTGTAAATAATATTTTTAAATTACATTTCTCGAATTTTAAATTTTTCTTGCATTTCTTACCTTGACTAATATCTGAAAGATATACCTACCAGTGATTTTGAAGGAATTAGAAACATATTTTGTTCGTACAATTTATGCTCAAAATTTTAAATTCACCATCAATTTGTGAATTTGCTATATCACAATTTCTACTTTTTACAGCCTTCCAAGAAACGCCATTTTACTCCGCCGTCCGTTGATTCACTTCTTGGAAGATGTCGCCTCACACTTGAACTATTCACCAAAGTGTTTCTCAATGATGTCGGTGCTGAACCAAAGTCTATTCTGCAAGATTTAGGAGGATTTGAGGTAACTTTTACAGAATTATTCAATTGTCAGTAGAATCAACCTGGTTGCAATTTTAGTGATGATTATTTTTTGTACTCCCGTAGTGTGTGTATCAGGTTAGGGTTCGGGCATGATTCGATTCCGATTTTCCTTATTTTAGTACTATTACGAGTGCGCGGACTGTCTGTGTTATCCAAGCTAATATACCCCCATAGGTTTCAGTTTCTTTACACAACTTAATGTAAAGTAGGCAAACAAAATCAAAATCACCATATTGGTACACACACTTCTGGAGCACCCATTTTTTTTGCTGAATTTTAATTCCCAAGAAAAATTAGGATTTTATTGGGAAATGAAAATAAATTCCAATCTAACTTTTTATGCCATTCTGTATCTAAATAACAGACAGAAAAAAACTGAAAAATTATATAAATTTTCATACAAGGTACGTGAAGCGAAATTCCGCAAAGAAATGGAAAAACTGCGAAATTCTCAATCTGTCGATCTTCAATTGAACGTAGAAAGAGAGCCACATCGTCTCATTGTTCAAACTTTCAAACAATTGAATCAACATTATCGCAGAAGATCAGGAATGTCATCTTCGTCTTTGTCATCTTCAACTCAACCATTGGCTGTTCAACGAGTAAGTAGAATGTTAACTACACAATTATGGTAAAATTTATTTCTTTTTTGATTTGTATGAAAAGATACATGCAAGTTCAATATAGAAAAAGGATCAACAAATATCCCACTATGAGTTTCTGCCAAATTAGTGTGATATTCTGGGACGCATCAACTTACTCAATGAATTTTTTTTATATGACACTAATTAATATAATTATCTAGGAACAAGGTCGGTACAAAAATTACTGATATCTAGACCCTATCGTGACCCTTGGGTTTCTGGAAACGACTTGAAAAACTCTTCATTACTAACATGTCTCGGCGGCTGGCGTATTGTGCTAACACTGGCATGTAAAAACTACGGTCGGCGGGCCATATCCGGCCCGTTTGGTAGTTCAATCTATCCCGCCTGATGCTGCCACAACCCGACTAAAACCAAATTTTGATGTTTTAGCTGAAAAAAGGACTTTGTTGAGATTGTGATTAAATTTAGTTTTGACATGAGTCTTATTGTTTTCCGCATTTACTTTTGTATAACACTGTAAATATTGTTCATAAAATGTAACTTTTTACGTCAAACTTATGTGGCCCGCCAGTCTCGGTGCCAAAATTTTTGGCCCCTGGTCCAGAAACCTTGCCCACTCTTGTTCTAACAGCTAGGGACACCCATGTCTTTTGCGCCTCTTATTTTCCTGTGCATGTTCGGATTATGTTCGCCAAAAATGAAAATTCTATCATTTTATTATAACTCTTCCTTTACTTTTACTCAGGTGAAAGTGATCTTCAAAGAAGAGCCGGGTGAAGGATCGGGAGTTGCCAGAAGTTTTTATACCGCTCTATGTGAAGCTCTTTTATCCTCTGATCAACTTCCACCACTAGATGGTATTCTTGTTCCCTTGGGTTCATCTTCTTCCAGGTTTGTTATGTGAATTGTTTTCTACTTTTTACTTATATTGTTCCAGTACTTAAGTCTTTACTTTTGGTATTTTGTAGCAATAAAAGAATTTAGACCAGTGACTCACGAACTTCCATGATTTGCGTCTCATTCCTAAGACTCTGCGGCCGTTGGCTTTGAATTAAAAAGCTAGTTTCGTTCTCAATTATTCTTCATCAGTTATTTTATTTACTACATTTAATTATAGAGAGACAACAAACACAAGTAAAATATAAAAGCAATACTGTCAAAGAATCAAACTAATCACAACTAATTTACTTTTAAAGGATCGCAAATGGTGCCCATTGGCCCTCCATGGCCCTAGGCGGGATGAGGGCTTGTTCTAGAAATCTTGTCCGCATGTAATTCTTTGGGTACAATCTGGCTGTTGGATTAAAAAGATTCCCGAACCCATTGTTTTAATTTTTAGGAATTCGTCTGGAATTCATCACAGCCTCGTGTCTAGATTGAGACGACGAGAACAAGAAAGAGAAAGGGACAGATCAGGACGTGCCGGTAAGTTATTTGTTATAGATAGAAAGATGTTTTGAAGTTAATATTTTGGTAATATCAATCCAATATTATCAATATATGACAGGTATGTTCGCAATATTTAAGAGTGTATGACATAACTGATAATAATAATATTTACCAAATATATATAGTATCGACATAAAATAAGCCAAATGAAATGTAATTACGTCATCTTATGGGCTTTTCCTCCCTATATGCCAAATATGAAAAATCTATATTACATTGCCTTATATTTTGTATCTGTATCAAACTTATAACTTAAATCGAATTATTCAAATCTTCTAGGAGGAAGAAAAATAAACTTGCGATCCTATTTCATGGCTCGATATGCTCAACGTTCCAACGCTCCTACAACAACAACAACGTCAACATCTGGACCGAGTACAGTCACATCGTCCACTTCATCTCAAATCTCAGCGCTTTCGCCACCATTTTATAAAAGGACTGAATCCCGCAGAGGTGAATACACATTAGTTTTAGATGTCATCATATGGCTTTCTTTATTCGAAATGAAAAATAAAATAATATGATTTCAAAATTTAATTTTTTGCGCGTTTCAAAATTGGAGGTAACTAATTTTGTTCCCCTATTTTACATCAAGTGGTGTAAAGAGACTCGAACCTATGGGATGGGCAGGGGGTATTTTCACTTGGCGATCACAGACAGTCCCCGAACTCGTAATCGAACCAAAATAAGGAAAATCAGAAAAAAAAAGTATGGCCTAACCTGGTCACATACTACGCTACGCTAGTACTGAGATTTCAGTAGACAGTAGTTCACACTGGATTGTCTTGATATAAAGCCTATTCATGCCTTTACTTTAAACAAGGTTGTACAAGAATTTGCTACTATTTTTGAAAGGACCGGAATTCTTACTATTATGCCATAATTTTTAGTCCGATTATCCCTATTTTAATTCTATTACGAGTTCGGGTACTGTCTGTATTGGCCAAGTGAATATACCTGCCCATAGGTTTCAGACGCTTTACACAAAATAGGCGAACAAAATTAGTTACTTCTATATTGGTGCATATACTTCTGCGCTGCTTCCCCAATGTAATAACTAAAACATTAACCATTAGGCCAATCAGAAATCTTAGAAAATTTATTTTACAATTTTTTTTCAGGAGATTCCGCTGCTAGAAATGTTTCCGGAGGGTGGTCTCTTGACAAGCGTGTGTTTGGAGATCGTCTTCTTCCAAAAGTCATTGCAATCAATCCAATGTGGCCAGAAAAAATTACTGGAATGCTGTTAAGTAAGTCACATGAGGCTGCTTTTTAATTTTTGAGATAAAAATGGATTTCCATATTTTAACGAAGGAGAGGAAAGTTTATTAAACAATCATATGGTACACCAAGTCCTCTTATTTGGTTACCAGTCTGTATCGGGTATGGACTTTTGTTCTAGATGTATACATTACAAAAACAAAAAAAAATCCAGACTGTACATTCCTGTTTTTTAATAAAAACTTTTGTTAATCTAGGTCTTCCTGTGTCTGAACTTCTTCTGCTGCTTAGCAGCGATACTCGTCTAAATAACAAGGTCAATGAAGCCGCGCGTCGTCTCACACTCTTCGGATATACAGGAGAAGAAGATGCGCAGAGTAACGTCCCAAAGGATGGACATGGGACGTCCTCGAATGAAACCAATTTGGAAAGATCTCCTCGAAACAACGCAAGAATGAGTGTCGGTGCATCAAATGAAAAATCACCACCTGGGTCGAGTCCACTTACAACAAAAGAGAAAGTTCCGGAAAAAGATTTGGAATACGGTAAATTATCAACACGAGAGTTTCCCAAACTTTTCAGGCTCAAAGGCTCGTTTAAATTGGGAGGCATTGGAAAGAAAATTTCTCGTTGTTAACATTACATCAAAACAAGAAAAAGTTTCATAACATCTACGCTTTTATATATTATTAGCTTGTTGTCAATTATAGCCATCTCACTCAGGGTGTAATAAATTGGGTAGTGGGTACGCAATCGTGAGAATTTTTCAGATCAAGATAACTCAAATTGGGGTAGATTTGACCTTTATTGGGGGGAAATTTTGCAAATAAGAAAGTGTGTTACTAAGTGTGATTCTCTAAACCTGAGTAGGGGAATCCAAGACATGGTGGCAAGCGCTCACCACATAAACAAAATACCAACTTTCTTTACAAACACTGCTTTTTTTATGCGTTAATCAAATTTATAATCCAGCGTAAAAAAATTTCAGATTCTGATCACGAAGAAGAAGAAGTCGACATTTCCACTTTCCCTCTGTTTTATCAACCTGGAAAACGAGGATTCTATTCTCCTGCTGCTGGATCCGCTACAAAAAAGACTTCATCAAAATCGATCGATTCTGAAACAACCAGAACGACGCCCAAGAAACCTGTTCCTCTCGGATACGAAGCCAGATTGAACGCATTCAGAAATGTCGGAAGAATTATAGGATTGTGTTTGCTACAGAACGAACTCTGTCCGTTGCCTCTGAACAGACATATTTTGAAAGCTTTGCTTGGAAGAAAGGTGTGTATTTACTTGTGATTAAATTATCTATGGAACCAAGCTCGAATGCTCAAATTCATGGGTGCAAACGTTCAATGACTAGCCGCAGTACTTGTAGTTTTTTTTCAACAATTAAGCAAACAACATTTTAGTAAATTTATATTTTTAGTAAGAAATCACTTTTCTCTACTAATAATGTACCAAACAGTTTCAAATGTTGTGCTATTACTTTTATTTTTTATCATGTCATCCATGACATCTTGCTGATTGATAATCAAATGTTACGGAAACAAATGAGGACGTCAATGCTCGAGGAAACATGCATTGTTTATAAATAACATCTTATCAACCATAAAATTTTTAATTATTTTACAAAATTTCAGATCAACTGGCACGATTTTGCATTCTTTGATCCTGTCATGTATGAAAGCATGAGATTTGTTTTGGCCGAGAACGAGAAGAAATCTGACAACAACGTAGAGTTACTCAATGCTCTCGATCTAACATTCGTTGCAAATCCTCTTCCAGAAGAAGGAGGGGGAGAAGTGAGTATAAGACAGGATTTTCATTTCATTTATCCTATGAAAGAGGAAGGCTGATAAGATGGTTCAATCATGTGACAAGTCATGGTCTCTTGTTTGGTTACCAGTCCATGTTCGGTATGGAAATAGTTAACCAGTTATATATCTCAGATGCAAGCCTTAACGAATAGCGGTTACGCTGACGCCATACCCTTAACACATGACGATTCTCACAGGATTCGGACCCGAAAAGGGTAATTAATCAGTGGGGCAATAGCAAGCATGTTCCTACCGCTTAGCACAATGCCAAAATCGATTTGATTTGGCTTTGAAAATGCTATTCACAAACAGCTACTCCAAAAAATATAAAAAATTGAAGCCATATATGTCAGCTTATTTTGCTAATGAATAGGGTTAAAGTGTCCTCGAAAATCCAAATAGGTTGATCAAACCAATGATGCCTATTTGAATATGTGATTATGAGTTTGTACGTGCCTTGTTTGGAGCATATAAGAAAAATTTTTAAATTCTGTCAAGTCTGTTATCTAAATCTTTCTCAAAAATTCTCAGGTCGAGCTGATACCAGGCGGATCTTCAATAAGTGTTACTCCAAGTAATTTGAGGGATTATGTGAGAAGATATACAACATACAGGATGATTACTTGCTGCCACAAATACATTAAACAGGTACAGAATATTTTCATTAGTAGAGTGTCTGGAGACTGATTCGAAATTCTGAATTCTTCTGAGTCTGCTGCAGAAATATTCTAGTTTACTGAGTATTTTTATCAGTATATTGAAGAAGGCTTGAATAGCGAAGTTTTTGTTTTCAAAATTCGATTTTCTCGGGGGTCGAAGCTAGAGTCAGAATTATTATTTTTGAACCTGAGTCAATAGTTAAAATTTTCGTAGGCAGAGTCCAATTTTTTTCAGACTTTTGCCAGACTTCATAACCCTGCTGCTTGCCATGTTTTGGAGAGAGAGATAATCACGCATTTCACAATATATCATCAATGTACACATTTCAGTAAAATAAATAAACAATTATTATAAAATTTAATTGGATGATTCCCCGGGCATCAAATTCCTCGTTTACTTGCAAATGACTCGTTTTTGATGTTGTTCTCCTGTTTTTGTTGTATTTTTAAAATTTAGTATCATCGTGTTATTCAACCATTATTTATGCAGTGAACTAAAACGCCCAAAACAGGATAGACTAAGGTTTCAAACTTATCTTTTTTAATTTTTTCGTGGCCTCTGTAACATGTAGTCTACTAACTATAAAATCCAAATTCTCGATGCCACACGCAAAAAATTTTTATTTATTGAAATATAAAATTTTTTAGATGAAAGAAGGTTTATTTGATGTGTTGCCCAGAAGTTCATTGGATGGTTTAACTGCAGAAGATTTAAGATTGCTGGCAAATGGATGTGGTCGTGTCAATGTTCACACATTGATCAGTTACACTTCTTTTAATGACGAGAGTGGTAAATCAGGTCAGTATTATATTGAAGTGTATTTTTTTGATATTATGCAATTTTGAAAATATTTATTTATCAATAGAAATTCGATTTGGTTTTTAAATATTTCATAGTACTATTGATAAAAAATATTCGAAAATTCTTGTATTCAAATTTTGTTTAAAAAAGGGTACAGATACTCATTGTGAATTTTTAACTTTCTCACTGAATTCAACAAAATTTAGAGTAATTTGATTGGTTAAGACTCAACTTTGAAATCAACACCATATACTCAATTACCCAAAAATTGCAATAACAAGCACTTTTTTGGGAGATATATTCCATAACATAAATTTGTTGTAACTTATTTCTACTTATATCAGTATTTATATTGTTAAAGGTGAAAAAAAAATTCTTTATTTTTGTATAATGTTTCGGCCTTAAATTTTTTTATTTGTCAATTTAAATCAGTCATTATTTTTTTTCTTCAGCTGGTTCCAATGCTGAAAAACTAACAGAATTCAAACGCTGGTTCTGGTCCGTTGTATTAGCGATGAATCATTCCTCTCGTCAAGAACTTCTCTATTTCTGGACGGGATCACCCGCTCTCCCCGCGAGCGAAGACGGCTTCCAGCCTATGCCTACTGTTACAATACGTCCACCTGATGATCAACACCTTCCCACGGCCAACACTTGTATTTCGAGACTGTATGTTCCTTTCTACTCTACAAGGTAAGTTGATCAATTTTTGAGAAGAGGTACTTGTGTGTTGCCAGTCAATATCTGGTCCATGTTCATTTCAACTTATGTGGATTTTCGTCGTGTATGTTTATCTTGTGTATTGTAATTTTGGCGCTCCAGAAGTATGTGTACCAATATTGAGGTAACTAATTTTGTTCGCCTACTTTACTTCAAGTTGTGTAAAGGGACTGAAACCTATGGGCAGGGGGTATATTCAGATAGTCCCCGAACTCGTAATAGAACAAAATAAGGAAAATCGGAATAAAATCATGGCCTAACCCTAACCTGGTACATATACTACGGGAGTACCTGTTTATCTTGTGTGTTGTGATTTTTGGCTCAGTTCAAAGCAAATTATCCTATGTTGTATTTTCTCTTCAAACGATTTTTGCTATGTGATGTATTTTATTTATTCGGATTTGAAAATTGTTGCTTGCATTCCAGAGTAATCCTGAAACAAAAGTTGATGATCGCCATAAAGACAAAGAACTTTGGTTTTGTGTGAAGATAACATTGGAAATGACAGCCAGACGAACGGACTTATTTAAAACTGTGGCCAATGGAAGACATTTTTGCGGGTTTTATTTTAGGAATATGAATCCTATCTTCAGATTTTGTTCCACGTTTTTGACTTGCATGTTTACTCAACTAGATTTGTCTTATTAATTTAATTATCTTGAATTTGAAAACTAAGTGAAAGCGGTTTTGTTTTATCTAGGAAATTTTGTGTGTGAACTTTTTGCTTCAACTCCTTATTTATTTTGATAACGTGAATTGTGAATAGTGCCTCGATGACAATTTTTTTGCCACCGGGACTTTGCAATGCACTGTGTTCTATTACTATGTGCCAGGATAAAACAATCAATAATTTAAAAATATGATTGCATTGGCAGTTTGCTTGTCTGATAAATTTGAATCGAGAATAAAGCTTTGAAACAAATAAGGCGTTAGTTCTGGATTGGTAACCCTTTTCATATGCACCATTCAGCAAGTCCAACCCGTATGTGGAAAGTTTTTTCGCTCTTCTAATTGGACACGTCAGTGGACATAACGATCATTTGCATTATTTTTTGACACCTAGTGGAAAACTTAGAAAGTCCCTTTTCTCTTTGATTACTGGACCAATTTCTTCAACATTTTCAGTAGTTAAAGATGAATTCTTTTCTTAGAAGGCTATTACTTTTATTTATTTCAAATATGCCTGATAGCACTGTAGGATTCGTTTTTTTTACATGTAATGGATTTGTTTTTATGCTGGCACTTTTTTTTGATCACATGCTCATCAAACGTCGGTATTCTTGCTCTGCCATGGCAAGCAGCGCCGTAAGTACTGGTATGTCAAAGTATGAACTGCTTCGCTCTGATGGGCGTGTCCATATATTTGAGCATAGCTCTCTTGTTTATTGGTACGATTTTTTAAGGCAGGGATGTGGTGTCCGCGAAAGTTTACAATTTAGGGTGAGAAAAAATTTTGACTCCGATTTCAGCTCCAAAGTTGGGAATAAGCTGTTCAGAACGCTTAGTGAAGTTGGCACAGTAGCGAGTCTACCATTCAGACTCCGGAAAACTAAGATCGTGATTGGGAAAGAGACCAACTTTTGCTGAAGATCAAAAATTCGTTAACGTCCTTCGAGCTAAACGAAGGGCTTTTTAAATTGACATCATGATATCATTCGCTACCCGCAACATTGAAAGATAACTTGAATTGTTCTCTAATTTTCCTCTCTATATAGTTTTTATAAAGAAAAAAAGGACCTCCGGAATTATGAGCACCAAGATGGCGTACAACCTAAACATAGTATGTGTACTGGTGTGGGTTCAGGTTGTGCGACATCCTGGTGCGCATACGGCTGGGGCACCGAAAAAAAAAATTTTTTTTTTTTTTATTTGTACTTTATACTCGACCGCGCACTGTTCCTAGCACTTTTTCGCCAGCAGTTTTGTTATGGATGTTTCCTCGACCCAAAAAAATTCTTCTTATACTTTTGATATTGTAGAATTTTTAGAAACATGACTGACAACTACCACGGAAAGAGTCAATGTTTACAACCATGCCCGGTTAATTGTCTGAGCGAAAGAAATGTCCGAGTCGCTCCACAAATTTCAATTGTTACGTCATTGAATTAATTCTGATTGGTCATCCACGCTCCGGGAAATATCCATTAACGTTATCTTTCGGATTTACCGTCAGTGGGCAGAAGAGGTACATTGGTTTATCGTCTATGTCAGGGCTGTCCAACCTTTTTGGACGAAGTACTACATTCAGTTCTCGAAAGATTGCGCGGGCCATTTTGACATGGTAGTTATGTTCTAGTTTTCGCTACACCTACTACAGATATATGAAAAAACCAACAAAGCACCTAAATTATAAGAACAATGGAAATACGAAGATACAGTAAAGTCAAAAGTTTTAACTTCACATAGATATTTCAATGGGAATTATGGCGCTGCGTTTATCCAATAAGTTTAGGTGCAATGGACGATGTAGCAATGCGGAGCGGATTTTTCACGTGGCTGTCAGAAATTAGTATCTCATGTATTAGTATCTCATTCAAACATGTCTCAATAGCAATAACGACCACAAATGTACATAAAAGAAGCTTTCGATAGCTAGGTGGTACTTCTCGCGCGTTTGAGCGACATTTTTTTCATTAGAAGTTCCAATAATGGCTCAGATTTGTGAAAGACATTGGGATTCGAATAATACCGCGCGGATCACTGGGAAATCTTCGAAGGGCCACATGTGCCCCGCGGGCCATGGGTTGGGCGACCCTGGTCTATGTCCTCATTTGTTAGTGGTCATATGCGTTAAATCGGACTGGTCAATGAGTGCTCATTGGGCTGGCATATATCAGCATCTTCACAAATGAAAAGACTAAACACAATTAGAATAAGATTTCATCGATATCGCCATATAAGGAATAGCTATTTGGTCCAGCAAGCCTGGTTAAACATTCAGATTGGTAGTAGATTCTACATCCATATAGCATAACACGGCATATTCCTAACTCGTGCTGAGTGTTCACTGTAATGGCTTTTCGTACATAAAATTATGTTAACCAAAGTTGCTTTTGTTGTCAAACTTGCGTGATAACTTACTACTGTAATCGCGAATTAGGCCGTACTCTGCATGTCAAATAATTATGAAAGTGGTTGTGTTTGCATAGACGGCTTCAATGACGAACTTTGTACTTGATATTAAAATAGCCGCTGGCCATTCTACCCTCGGATACCGTTATCACAACTTGCGTTATCTTTACTGCAACTTTGAACATTCCCATGAAATAAATATGTTGGTGCGGTAAAATGATTGTTTGCTGTCAATAGAATTTTCAAAATTTTCCATACCGGTAATATTCCTTATCGCCTTTTGTACATTTTTGAGGTTTTTAATTTACAAATATTCTAAAAAGTATTAAAACATTTGGTTTTTGAATAATTTTTCATTGAAGGTCAAATATTTCGTGAAGAAGAATTGTATTTATATTTGAAATGCAAATGCAAACAAAATGCCAGACTAACAAAGTATCAGTAACTTTTCAACAATAAGGGGTTGCCAGAAAATTAGACTCTGATACAAGAGCGATGAACATTCCTTTTATTGTCATCAAATGTATGAATCTGTAGCTTCAGGTAGAGCTTTGTATTTAAAATTATATGAACGCCATCCCACTATAAAGCATATGCAATACATTCATATATACCGGTATTACACATTATTATAGTTATCTATTGTAGAACAGATGGCACAGTAACCTAGAAATCCAACTTACAAATACACTACATTTTGCGAGGTCAGTTGTTTATCAAATTAAAATAACAGTAAAAATTCAAAACTTCTGTAAGATGTTTCAGAAGTATTCCGTGAGGTAATTAAATAATTTTCATTTCTCACGGAAAAATTTGGCAGCAAACACGGTGATCACGACGCTTAATTTTGCTTAATGATGTCGCTAATTTCACGAAATTGCGTTAATGGTAAGAGAAGTGATTATGTCAATTTCAAACCTGCTATCAAGAAAAATTATAGCGAAGTGTGAGGTAGAATATTTCTCGAGACTGAAACTATATGACCAAAAATGTAAACAGAATATTTCACGTTAATAAAAGTCTGCTGTCTGCTTGAGGGAGATGGACTCAGATGACCGTATGGTTGTATCGCCCCCTCCAGTCTTTATCGAAAAACAGTGTCCATTTATTGTATGTATTTTTTCATTCATTCGTTTTTGGTTGACAAATCGATAAATCTATCTATCTTATTTTGTTTATATATATATGTGCTTGTTTTCTGGTTTCTCAGAAGCAATAAATACTATATCTCTCCAAAACCCGCAAAGTTGATAAACAAGCTTCATACAACCTCCAGTAAACGTCGGTAAGGTGACGTTACTTTTGAAGACGAAGTCGTTTTTTTCTTTAACTACTGCACTAATTGCTTTCGACTTGCAGTGATGAGAGATATAATAGTACTGTTTCTTAAGATGCTATGAAGCCTCAACAACCACCGCGATGTAGACCAGGTGTTTCTATGTAACTTTTAGGGTTAATTCATTAATTTTGACATTAATTTTACTAAAATTTAGCGCAAATAATAATTTTGTTTCAAAATAATAATATATAAGAGTGTATTTAAGCTCTCCTAAAATAGAATCTGAATGGTGTTAATGAAAGAGGCGTCATCGTCGACGTTATGATCGAAGTACTCATCTCAACACAGTAATACAACAAAAACTAACAACCAAAAAAAACTATAGCCTGGACATTTTTCCTTTTTCGCCATAAAATCATTAATTTGTTGCAAAATAGGTAATCAAATAGCTAGAATATTCCGAATGAGAAGAACCAAATTGTTCAGATATGGTCATTTCTACCATTAACACATATTTCGTTACCGGAAGGAGCATCACTCCTAAATAGAAGAAACAAATTAGATACATTGATTGTACGCATATGATCTGTATATATTACGTTAGTGTGCTTTGCCTGTAACGTATGTCACGCTATTTATATCAAGTGAATGACGCCAAAACAAGAATATACAAATGTGTATTCGTTTCACCTTTCCTACGTAAAAACGTGATATACCGACGCCGCTGTAAAGCAATGTCACGTAATACTCGGTAAAAAAATGCGAAACAATAAAATTATTTTTAAATAAAGACTAAATATAGGTGTGCCAACGTAATTCTCCGGAACGATGAAAATCCGTTTATATGTGCCTTTGTTTTCTACTTAGTCTCATTTACATACACGAAGGTGTAGGTATTGTGTCTGACTGCTTTCAAAGTGAAATATGATGACCTATTAGATTTAGAATAATTGTGACTGCGCGGGACGTGTTGTTGCCCAACTACCACGTCCTTGGCATTAAGGAGAAAGGTTAACCTATGTTTGAAATTCAAATTGTTCATTAATTAACTACAGGTCCTAAATGCGTGAAAAAACTTAAAACACATTCAGCCAATTTGGTTGTTCATGCCAGGCCCGCAAGGTTCAGTAACATCTAAAAGAATCGAATTAAAAAAAAACAAAATTAAAAATTATATCAGGATATTTAAGATTTATAGTTCCTTACATTATGTCGTTAATAATCTACAATCCAAATGTTGCGTAGTTTGCGTTCTGAACAAATGTGTTATATTTGGCAATTTCGTACCTGCAGTCTATTTATCAGTATACAATAAAAATAAATCACTAAAACGAAAAATACTCAGGTTTCACTTCCACACATACTTTCGTTCATAATATGCACATTTTCGTTTAAATTGTAAATAAGTTGCGAATAAGTGCAAATAAGTTTACACTTTTTGGCTAAGGAGTTAGCGCCACTGGGTTTAGAAAACGTCATACCTCGCTTTAGTTATTAGCAATAAATGGAACAAGACTGTTCAGGGAATGAAGCAAAGATCAAAACACATTGTTCAACGTACCAGCCTAATA